GCTAATTACATCGAGTTTTCCAAATATAATCCATCAATATTAGGCAACCACTTGTCGAGATGTGATAAACGGTATAGGCTTTTCTGTTACATTTTGACTGGCCTTCACCATTTACAAGTATTTTGATTTTGATTAATTTTTGGTGAGAATAATACTCTGATGTTTAAGCTGTTGTTATAGTTGACAAGCAACTTTAATCAATACGTTGTATATGCCTGTGGAAAAATTGTATATCAATGCTGTTATACAGCTATTTGTACAGACCTTCATTAACAGTTGTCTTCGCTCAATACTCAAGATAAGATGGCCAAAAAATATCAGCAACAGGGATCTCTTGGAGCGAACCAACCAGGAACCGATTGTGCAACAAATAAGCGGGAAGAAATGGAGGTGGATTGGCCATACTCTGAGAGAAACCATCAAGTGACATCACTAGACAAGCCATTGCTCGAGTGGAACCCGAAAGGGAAGAGGTGAGTTGGTCGTCAGTGCAAGGGTGACATGGAGGAGGTCATATGAAGAGTAGATGAAAGCATGTGAGTGGACTTGGAGCCAGGTGAAGACTCTAGCAGAGAACCGAACGCAATGGAGATGTGCAGCTGAAGCCCTATTTTCCTCAAGGAACTAAAGGAAACAATAATATAATATAATACAATACAGCTATTTGAATGAACACGTTAGAAAAGGGACTCTTTCAGTTTATCTCAGTAGTTTTTATCATCATCATAGCACCTGAACTTTCATTTTTAAAAGTGACTTCACAGCTAATTACCAATGGGCCATGTTCCCTTCAAATTAGGTGATGTTAGACCGTGTAGACTGACCACGTGTACTAGAAGTATTTTTTATCCGTTCATGATGTTGGGTAATGAATAGGTAATATTTGTGTTGATTTATCTTGTCAGATAGCTTATATTGGTAGTACTCGGTTGTATTGTACTTTACACTGATTGGTCACTAAGAAGTAACCATTGCCAAGCGACTAGTTCTAACTGAATTGTAGCAGTCAGATTTGCAATGCGGCCACCAAGGTAGGTCACTTGTCATCGTGGTTTCCTCCAACCAACTTGCTTGCATCAGGTCGGTGTGCACTGTGATGGTGACTGACAGAATTCAGTCTACATCAAAAACTAAGGATTGGACACATAACATTAGTTATCACTGGTGACCAATCACTGTATGTGTTACGATCCAGCAAAATGTAAATCGTGAGCGCGAATAGCTCCATGATAACACCTCTACCCAGTGTTACAAACATTGGATAGTGGTGATTCAAATATATTCTAAGGATCATCAATGTCTCCAAGGCTGTATACATGCCTTGCTGATGAGTGTCACTAAGCACGAAACTTATATCTAAGACTTCCTGTCAATTGTCTCCAAACACATAGAATCAGTTTATCATATTTTTCTTAGCAATTAACATCTCCTGAATAATACTCTATAACGGTTCTTCCATAGAGTGTGAAACTAGCTTTAAAAGTTTAATAAACCAGGATATATTGAACTCATATATATGTCAGTGGTATTCACCAAGCTGAATTCTCTACATATCTGACCACATATTGTGTGTGAAGTGCAGTAAAAAACAAATGGAATAACATATTACATCATAATGGCTGCAAACAAAACAAACAAACAAAAAGCTTTTAAATATTTATTGTTTCCGTTTGTAAACAAATCAGTCACTGGATGGTTGCTAGGCAATGCAATTTTTCAGTCTTGAGTTTACTTTTTGAAATCTTTTAATTATGCAGACAATCTGTTCACTAAGTTCAGGGAAATAATTGCCTTGTACTGTGTGTGCATCCTTTATTTTGGCCTTTTAACATCAGGAGACGACATTTGACAAGAAGGTTTGCTTCACTTGGGTCTTCTGCTTTTCAGTAGCCGTCATCATATAGTACATTTATACAATCATCTTTTTTCCAATCAATACAGTCTTAGTAACATGTGTCCTTTCAATCAGACATAATGATTTACTTTCTTGATGGAAATTTTCCCACTAAAAGCTATGATAAGAATTATAGGTAGAGTTGATCAGACAAGTTTGCTTTCATTGGTTTATTTCTTTCCTAATAAGTAATAATAATAATAATAATCGCTACAGTCCACATACGTATGCCATAGTTAAAGCGATAATCTATACGATTTGAGTTGAAACCACTCATTTCCCTAAATACTGTAGTTTAATCAAACTGTTAATGTTAATTCCTTTCACAACATTAAGTTTTTAACGCAAATAAACTACAACATATCATCATACTGTATGTCGAAATGTAAATCAATAATATTTACGCAAATGTACGTATATTATATATATATATATATATATATATGCATACACACACAAATTATAACTCAGAAGATAAATGAAATACAATAAGTCGAATTTGCTTTTAATGCATAGACAAATCAATTAAACAGTCCACAAAACACTCATCTTCAGATTCGTATGGTTTTCTTTGTCTGGAGAAAACAAAATTAAATCATTTTTTGATTTAGTTTTCGCTTAACAATATACTCGATATTGATGGAATATGCCTATAAATATAAATGCTTTAATCTGTGTCAGATTTCTTCAACTTTGATAACCTCTGGATTCTCTTAGCGTTGCATTCAACAACTCTATATCCCTTTTTAAATGCTAATGTTTTCGATTCAACGTCTGCTTATTTGTAAATGACGTTGAGTTTACTGGCTAGTATGAAACCCTCACTTCTTGATTCTTCATGTGCCTTTGCATATTTTTTGGGACGGTGAAAAGTAACTTCTGTTAAGTTCATAGTCTGATCATGAGATGCTGAACTCACTGTTTCACTTATTATGAGTTATTCAGCTCACAGATCATGAGGCAGTTATCGAGTGATAACCAATGCATTTGTCTGGTCCTGAGAGACTTCACTGACTCTTTCATCACATTCAGCACTCCTTCATAAACATCTAGTCAATATACTTGTTCAGTATTTCACTGAACCAAAGTATTAATCGACTGTTTCTACACTCCTGATCAGTAATTAAAGTGTGTGAGAAAGAGAGACCCTTATTTTCAACTCCAATGTGAAGTCAGTGCTATTATACGGATCAGAGACTTGGCGCGTCATTAAGAGCACCTCAAACAAACTACAGACCTTCATAAACAGGTACCTTCGCTCATTACTCAAGATCAGATGGCCGGCCAGAAAAGATCAGCAACAGAGATCTCTGGCAATGAGCGAACCAACGAGGAACCGATTGTGCAACAAATAAGCAGGAAGAAATGGAGATGGATTGGCCATACTCTGAGGAAACCATCAAGTGACATCACTAGACAAGCCATTGCTCGAGTGGAACCCGAAAGGGAAGCGGCAAGTTGGTCGTCAATGCAAGGGTGACTTGGAGGAGATCATGTGAAGAGGAGATGAAAGCATGTGGGCAGACCTGGAGCCAGGTGAAGACTTTAGCAGAGAATCGAACGCAATGGAGATGTGCAGATGAAGCCCTATGTTCCTCTAGGAATTAAAGGAAATAATAATATAATATAATTAAAGTCTAATATATGAAGCCGGGAAAAGTTTTACGAACGAAGTTTGTCTGAGGCTACACAAATAATGTTCTGTTTTTATCCAGTATCAGAGAATCTGGTCGTGTATATTATCTGTAAAAGACTGTAATCATACCACTGATAAAAATTTCTTTTGCCATTATTTTATTGTCTTTTTACAGGGAACCTTATCAAGTGATAAAAATGAATTGTTATTCTCTCAGTTCAACTGTAACTATAATAATGAACCAGAATTATACCGTAAAGGTACCGTACTGTTCAGAAATAAGGTAAGATTGATAAAGCTTATTTATGTGAACTGGTCGTTGAATATAGATATTTCTTTTTCTTCTAATGTTTCATTATAGTTTATTTATAGTTCTAGTTCACTGAAGCTTCACAGTGTCTGCCAACCGGAAACACATATTAAAGACCCCAATAGCCTACTGATAGAGTTAATACTATTAAAAAAAGGGGGTTGACAAAATAGAATGGTAACAAAATACTTGACTCATTTCCCACTTAAATCAGTAAAGGTCAGGTAAGGTACGTTTTGGTGTTCATTTGATCGGTGACAACTAGCGGTAGCATCCAGGAAAATGAATACTGAATTCGACTCTCAGTGAGAACATCAACACTCACTGAGATACAGGTATATACATCTGACGAATCCCAAGTATAAAAAGCGTGAGTTCTAGATTCTGCTGCTAGCCTCTACCAATCAAATAAGCATCACCAAAGCATCCCTACTCATAGCCGATATACCAACAAAGACTGAGCATTCTTATCTGGTCAAATCAGGACATATCCCATTCTTGAATTGGCGCCACCTTTATCCGGTGAGTATTAGAGCGTTTGAAAAAGTAGGCCAAAGTATGCCATCATGATTCCATAAAAATTCAATAATATACGTTTAACTTTCGAAATTACTGTCTCCTCAAAACCATTAAATTGCTCAGATAAAAGTGCAGCAAATGTAACGCAGCTCAAGAATATAATGCCACCGATAATATACACGCTAGAAAAAGTGTTTTAATACAAAACTTCACTTAAAAAATATAACTTGTCACTATATCACCATAGCAACCGACTACTATGCAGTAAATGCACTAGGGAAATCAAACAAAGTGAAATTCAAAATTTGTACTAATTAAAGAAGAAGAGTTAAGTTATGACTAATCAACAGACGAAGTTAGAAAAGAAAATTATTAAAAGACTTTGATATCGTAATGCTCCATGGTGTTACACCAGTTCAATCAAAGTTGCACTTTCAGACTTGTCGCTCCGAAGATTGTTTCACACATTATTTTCCTTTGTCGATATGCTACGTAAAATGTTTTTGTCAAAAAATTATTTTCTATGCAGAAGATAAAAGGTATAAGAAAAGATGGAGTTCACCACTTTTCCTCTCTCTCTCCCTCTCTTCACGTCATTCGTTGCCAGTCATAGTCATTTCGCATTTCTATTCACATTTTTCATGTTGAAAGGTCACTGACAAGTATTTCTTTTTCTTGTCAGATGCATTTGTGTTTTCCTTCCTTCACGTTCCCCAGTGGAACATAGGGCTTCAAGCTAGAGGCTTGAAGTTTATGTAGCAGTGTTTATTTTACAGGATGGGGTTGCTAGCCTCATGCCCAACCTTTCCTCTTTACCAGCTTTATTTCTGGCTCAGAGAGGTAAAGGAGTCCGTCGGCCGGGGATCGAACTCTGGACCATGTGCATGGTCGGCGAGCGTCCTAAGCGCTATACCACCGACGCACCATTTGTGTTAGTTGTGACAAATATCAAATGAGGATGAGGATAAAATGTAAAAGTATTCGTTCTGTTTTATAATTTGCTTATAACAGATGAACGATCCTAATCGGATGTGGATACGGTGTTTAAAAAGAATTTAAAATGTGCTAAATACGCAATACCATATGAAATTATGATCAATTATTTTTAAATATGTTTGTATCAGTAATCAATGTCAACATGTGTCGCGTGTGTATTTATGTCCAATGAGTATTTCTGTAGTCAAATACGGTATAATCAGTGATATAGTATTTCTTCAAGTACCTTAAACAATAGTCATCGTACAGTCTGTAGACAGTGATAAAAATGAATCTTGTGAATCGATACAACAACTATCTAATCGTGTTTAAAAGTCAATCTGAACGAAGAATATTCTTTTCAATAATTTCTCCTCTTCAGGTTCTTACAATTATAAAATATAATATTTGTTGTCGTTACAATAAAGGCCAGTTATGCGGCTATCCTTCAGTAGCCGTCCAATGTTCACCCAGTAACTCAAAGATGTCTTACCTAACCTTGGCTTTTCATCATGCATATACCATTTCAACTGTTCCTGTGGCTCAAGTTATAGAGGGCGCACGATTAGGCAGGTTCGTCTACGGGTTCGAGAACATTTACCAGCTTGTTTCAGCAGGGGGGAAATTAAGTGCATAAAAAGCTCGATCCTGTAACACTTGGTCGATACTGGACATCATATCGATGTCAACACAGCTTTCGGGGTTATATACCGAATTCTGAAGTCGTTATCACTTACAGTTTGCTTACGTCTCCTACACATAGCTGAAGCTGTTGCAATAAGATCGACTAAACCGGAACTTTGTATCCAAAAATAACACGTCCAGACGCTGTTCCTACCGTGGTCAAACTTGGACTGATGATTCTTCTTCTCACCAAGAGTGCTCCTTCCCCTTGACCCTCTTGGTTTTTTTCCTTTGCTTATTATTACAAATATTATTATTATTATTCGTCATAATTTATGGCCTTCATGCGAACATTCTCTCAATACTATCGAATTTTTGATTTATAGTATCCGGATTTATTATTAATGATATTATCTCTTTTCTCAATATATGCCTCCACCTGTTTCATTTCACATATTCGTTACTTCATTATGAACCTCTCACTGCAGTCTTACTATCTCCTGTTTAACACAGACCACTTTGTACTAGCCACTCACCTGACACCTTTTATAACCTTGAACTGACTTGTCAATTTTCCTACCCCACACTCTACAAATCTATTATGACTAATCACCACCATTGTTTCCCGTTTTACATTATTTTGTAATCGATTTCAGCCTAGCACGTTTGTCACACAAATACGACTATTTACTTTGACACCCCATAACTAATCTGTTATTCTACGTTAAAAATGAATCCGCCGCTCTTTATTGTAACGACAACAAATATTATATTTTATAATTGTAAGAACCTGAAGAGGAGAAATTATTGAAAAGAATATTCTTCGTTCAGATTGACTTTTAATTCACAATATGGGAATATTCCACACTATCAAATCTTAATCGTGTTTAGTAAATTGGACATGATAATGCATAATAATGAAGCTTTGTTTCCATTGGAATACGCTTTCTATTACGACCAACATTTGACTATTCGAAATACCAGTGTGAAATATTCCTCTGTGGTTACTCCAGTAAGTGGGATTTAGCTAGAAGGTGAAGAGCGAATTGGAAAAGTTTCTTTCATCTTAATCATATGAAATATAGGCACGGCTCAGTCGTTTATGTATAATTAAGGAGAGATCGTAGTAGGTACTTGAAATATAATATTAATTTATACTACAATAACCGATGAGGAATAGTGTGATATATAGCAGGACACACGGGTTGCAACCCACGTTTAAAAGTAAGTTGTTGCAGTATTCGAATCATCAGTGTATTGATTACCGACTTGACTATACACAGACTAAGCTGTACAGCTCAGTGGGAAAACAGTTTTGGATTTTATTTCAGTTATCAACGGTTTGTTCCAGCTATCATTCATACAGATATCAATCAAGCCTTCCTATCCGGGTCAGTAGCCGAAATCTTGTACCTCGTGAAATTCGAATTCTTCAGGGACGTAACTCTTGCTTTCAGTTTTAACCGTCACTCATTACATTAATACCAACCTACCAACTTGAATTCATCTCTGATAATCTTAAGCTAAAATATATTTCACGATAATAAAGGAATGAGTTTGCTTTCTCACCACTTTTTTACTGAATGTTTTAACTAGTCGGTAAAAAACAGTCTGATAGTAAAGTCACATTTAATGACGGTTAAATTGTTTCAAGGAGACGCAGCAGTTGATTTGCTGGCATCAAAACTTCGAAAAATAGTAGCTAAAACATTCTTTGCCGTAATATTGTGTTTAAATTTCGCCACTCATTGTATAATTCCAACGCAGGTGAAGGATAAGCTACTGAGTCTGGCCACTTTAATGTGCATTTATAAATTTAACTGTTCATGTGGAGACAGTTACATAGATACAGTGACTCGGCAAGCCCACCCAACGTGGTTAGGTAGAGGAGTTGTGAAGCCAATCAGAAGTTTATTACTGGCACACCTAGTGGAGACAGGATAGAAGATTGACAAAAAATTCAGCTTTTACACTTCTATACAGGGTGCCACCTCAACTTCCTAGGTTGGTACGTCTTCGGCTGCTAAGCACAGCTGAAGCAGTTGTCATAAAGATTTTTCAACGCAATCTCTGTGTTCATAAAATGTTTGTTTAATCCCTCTCCCTCACTGAGCCTTCGCCCCCAACCTTAAATGGTCATCTCTCCCGACGTCACCGGATAACTGTAAATATTATCTTATTATGTTTTTATTTTATTTCATTTGTGATGCTAACTGTATTATCAATATCATTCTGTTGTTGTTTTCTCTTCTACCCTTACAAGTATGCACATTCTATCTATCTATACGCTCAACGTTGCTTAGATTATATAAATACTTGATTGAATTTACCTTGTTATTCTTATTATGATCACCTCGATTGTTATCCATTAATTCATATCTCTGATCCTATATTCTATTAACTACATTAATTCAAATGCCTATGACTAATATTTCGTCATTATGTAAATGTTAAGTCTGATGAGAATTTACAGAAAACACGTATTTGCTTAAATCGTACTCTATTTAACAAATTATCTGCATTAAACGTGTCAACTGAAAATCATGATGGATTAAATGACGTGGAGAATAAAAAAAATTTTTTAACTCACGCCACTAGTTGTATTAAACAGTGTGGATTAAGAGAAGTCAGCATTCAAAAAGTGAAGCTACTTAGCCTACGGTGTCAACATGAAATGATGGTCTCTTCATACTGCGAATAAGATTATAAGTGTTGCCGAACAGTTACATACTTTTCATAACACCTGATAGTTTTCTTTTGAGTTTTTTTCTCTTATTTTCTCCTCTCAATGGAGATCTTTTGTTTTTCATCTAAAATGAATAATCAAGAGAAATAACCTTCAATGTATTTTTCACTTTTTTCTTTAGTTATTAAGCTTGTGGGAAGTTGATAAATTTTGTAAATTTAATTTCACTGCTAACCGATATCAGTTTGAAAATTGAGGTGCGTCGGTGGGACAGCGGTTAGGACTCTCGCCGACCATGCACATGGTCCGGAGTTCGAGCCCCCGCCGACGCACACCTGATATCTATGGTCAGCCTGCAAAATTTGGGCTACCGATAGCACATGCTGAAAATTCCATACTTGTACTAGAAATACGGTGTGGAATCAAGCTATAACCAAAATTTAAAAAATAAATACCTATCACGTCGTAGTTTGGGGCGTTTAATTAATGAGCATCTACAACTTCATGATTGGTTGAAGGCGAAACTGTCACGTTGTGAGGAAGTACGAGTTCATTCTGTTGATACCTGGATTGATGTCAGACTGCTCCTGATTTCGATTTGCTATGTAACGTCACATTTCATTTTCATCAATCAATATTTATGGCGTCGGTGGCATAGCGGTTAGGACGCTCGCCGACCATGTACATGGTCCGGGGTTCGATTCCCGGTCGACGAGGCACTCCTTTACCTCGCTAAGCCAGAAATAAAGCTGGTAAAGAGGAAAGGTTGGGTATGAGGCTAGCAACCCCATCCTGTGAAATAAACAATGCTACAGAAACTTCAAGCCACTAGCTTGAAGCCCTATGTTCCACTGGGGAACGTGAAGGAAAAAAAATCAATATTTATTCTGTTTCTTGACTTAATGAACTCTATAGGCCACAATTTCCTACTAGAATCACCACAAATTCACGTCGAAGCTAACTGGTTCTCAATTGATGTCTATATGAAAAGCTAATCAAAGTTAAGGTAGATTTTACCGACAGAAGTTTGAAAACACTGATACACTGCTGCAGCTTCCTAAGCTGGGATGATAGACATAGATGTATAATATTTCTTTGATCTCCTATGACTTTCTAATTAAAATCGATTAGTGATTAAATACACTTTTTTATAACATTTTCATTTTTCTTATAATTTTTAGGAAGGAAAACATTGTACCATTGAAAAAGCAAACATAGACATAATAAAAGATGAATTCTGGGATAAACATCCTCATATTTTAGAATCAGATTGATGCTGCTGATGATGATACTCCCCGGGACAGTATTCAGCTTACCGAGAATCATCTGCGTGTATCGATATATTTTTCTATATTTTTGTACATTTCTTCGCATTTGTAAACGAGCAATACAACCAACTGTAATCTGGTCATAGTCATTTTTCTTCCTGAAAATATCAATAGTCCATTAATATGGCGGGTGTTGGACGCCGATAACCATTCCTACTTATCAGAATCTGTGGAATGGTGAGTATATAATCAATACACCCTCTTCCTGGTTTAAAGCCTGTCTAGTTTTCTCTGGTTTATTTCTCCCTAGCATCACTTAGTCTGTGAATGATTATTGAACCTAGAACTTTAGAAACTATATTAGACGCGCTAATCTCCCTATGATTATCACAGGAGTACGTGTCTCCCTTTTTATCATCTGGGATAGTCAGTGAGTGACTTACACCAGTCTAACGGAATTATCTCTGATTACCAGACATTAACTAATATCTTAGTTAACCCAGACACAGTTCGCCACCACCGTCCCAAAACATGTTTGGTGTTATTCCATCGGGTGACAGACTAGAGATAGTCTTTGTAACCTAAGTTAAAGATGGAGGGTCGATGTTTACATCCCATTCAGGTAGGTGTTGGATGATGGGCAAGTTGAGCGTGACTGTAGACCAGTTAAATCGCTCCTCAAAATGATCCCTTCACCGTCACAGTCATCTATCCCATCTACCGTTTTTTTCGGGGATTGTCTAAATAGATGTCTAGTGTCGCCTATCACTGACTCCTTTTCCATCGCTTTTTTCACTCAAGAATGCTCACTGTCGTTGCGGAGACTTTCGATCAGCTTGTATTTAAGCAGATTTTAATCCTCATAATATTGTATTGTTCGTCGTAACTCGAGCATAACAATGAACGGGAACAACACCTTGCCATCGCCAATAAAAACGCTACAGTTTGACGTGCCGGCGATGCCTAACATGTGTCAACCTACCGTTTGAACAGTCCATGAACACGGTCTGACGCTATGAAATAGATTCATATCTATTAGTGAGACTGCTGCCCCTGTACCTATTAAACATACTTCTCGACCATTCCCTCGCATCTTGGAGTACATGGCCCCGCTCTCAATAGCCCCCACTACTTCTAGTCTGACAGAAGAGAAGGAACGCACATTATACTGACTGAAATCTTTTCTTCTCCTTCTTTCTGGGCAGTGCCTCCTCCAGTGTCTTGCTTTGCCACATTTAAAGCATCGGTTTTTCATGGCACTCATTCGTAATGCCGCAGATCTCGAACTTTCTGTTCCCATTCTTTTAATTTCGGTGGCTCTATTGCTGCTACCGTTGTTCTCTGTAGCTGTTTTGTCACCGTCATCTCACTGATGTCCATGGATTGTGCAGCGTTAACTAGTTGTAATTGTTAAGAAATGTGGTCTGAAACATTCTCGATGACCTGGAACGCCAATAGCTGCGACTCCGACTCTTCATCCAATGTGGGGAGTGCACGACTTAGCAGATTCGTCAGCTTCATCACCAACACTAGCGGGTCTCCATCCGGTCCCCGCTTGGCGGCACAGAACTGCTGCATCGTCAGTTGCCGAACTCTGCCACTAGTAGTCCAACGAATACCTTCGAGGTCATCTTCTCACTTCACCACTCCACATTGTCGTACTCCGCGTTTACTCGACCTCTCAGCAGCATCCCCAGAACGACTGCCTTCGCCGTAGGGTCCTTGACGCCCACCAACTCACTGACAGCTTCAAAGTCCCACAAGAAGCGCTTGATGTCTCCTCCCTCGAAAGCAGCCGGCCATGGAATATTCAATGTCTGGAGGCAGAGACACCACTTGTAATGGTAGAAGACAAGAGACTTGGTAACGGAATGTTTATTTGGAACTTGATATCTCTATACAGGGAGATTATGTATACATTATCTTCAACGCACCATTTGCACAGATCTTCGTATTGTGATACCTCTGGACTTCATCTTGTGTTCCTTTCACGTCTCCCATGTATATCAACAACGCTGTATCATTTGCTTTCTCTGACATCAAATGTATCTCCCTACTTTTGATGTGTTTTTTTTTATACCGACGAACGTCTCTTTATATGTTACTGATAAATCCTATAAGTAGCAGACGCCACAATAAAGTAAAGTTAGATCTTCGCCTAAAAAACTTATTTCTTGTCACCAGTTATTTTAGTATCTGAGGGACATTTTTTATCTTGTTTTTGTTCGTTTATATGTTGAAGACTGTTATTAGTCGGAAGGAAAATGAATTAATTTGTTCTTCATCGTATCATATTTATCTGACTTTTTCAAAAACATTAGTAAATGTTCCTAATGTCTTTTGCGTACAATGTTCATTCCATATAACTAAATCCCTTCATAAAATTTGGTTAATCACTGTTCTCACTCTTAATTGGAAATTTTTTCTTGTCTTTTGTAAAATAATGTATACGTTAAGAAGTGGTAAACATTCATCGTCTGTTCGAGTATATCATTACTTATTGAGTTGTAAGTAGGTATCTATGGAAAACGTATAAAACAAGTTTTTATTTATGCTATCTGTATTAAAAATTAATGTATTCATCCATTAAATTGATATTATTACGGCGCACACCCGATATCTTTGGTCGGCCTGAATTTGGGCTACCGATATCCATGCTGAAAATTCCATACTTGTACTGAAAATACGGTGTGGAATCAAGCTGTAAATCAAAATAAATAAAAAAAAAATAATAAAATAAATTTATACAAATCGTTTCATTACGTCATCGTGTCATTCAGTAAACTTCTTTATTCTATCTTGTTCGACTTTGTTTGGTCTCATTTCATTTCACGTTATCACATTCAGTTTATTAACGATATTTTACTGATCTTATTCTTCCACCTTATGTCATTTAACCTGGAAAATTCACGTATCCGAATGTACTGAATCTTCCTATCATCTATTTATTCACGACTATTGAGTCTTGTGTCAACCTTTATTCAGGCATATTACTATCCCATTTCTGATTCGTATTAATTTAAACCAGTATCTCATACATTTGGTTCCCTTGATAAATTTCAATAGAGAAAGAAAGACCAGATTTGCAGTATAAAATGATATCATTCTATTTCACAGGTTCTCTTCAGCTGCAAACTACCTGAAATTACAATGGTTATAATTAATAACATTTCATACTTCATTGTTTGAAAGGTAATACAGAAAGCATTATAAGATAAACGCATCCAGAATATAAGAATTAAAATTTTTTGTAGTTTAAGTTACCATCAATTTATATACTATCAAACTATGGAAAGAAGAAAGAAAAAGGGGGGGTGAGAGAAGACAGAAAAACTTAATAAACAGTGTCAACATGGCAACTCAACAAGGTCAAAGTTCATCAATTTGAAAACTTGCTTAGTGAGTTGAACTCACTAGTGTCTATGAGTAATCACTGTAATGAAAGGGATATGGTTACCAAGGGAGTGAGAGATTGACTACACTCTCTTTCTGTGTGCATAAGTTTGGTCTGAGGCGTTTGATTGCAATTGCTTCAGCAAATCGTAGTAGATTCGCTGTCCTTTGTATGTTTTTTATATTTTGAAGGATTTGGAAATCTCAACAAAATGGCCTGTATCCACAAAGTGTCTGGTAATTGCACTTTGTAAATATTTGCTTCCTTTTAAGCATAAGTTTCTCGGAATATGTTTTGAAAACCGGATAGAAGCCCTTCTTTCTGTCCTTCCGATGTACTTGCTGCCGCAGGTGCACGTAAATTTATAAAAGCAGTTGGAGGTAACATCAGGAGGGTATTTATCCAGTTTCGATTGGCTTATAGAGCATGTAGTACTGTATAGTATCACTAGATTGGCTGCAGGGAAGCATCTCTTGATTGCTCCTTTCATCCTTTTTTCAATCTTTCGCGATACTGTTTCTCCTTTGTATGGGAGGCAAATGAATACTTTCTTCTTTTCAACTGTTGGATACTTCTCTCTCTCATCTCTTTCTTTGCTGTACTTTAGGATAAATCCTTTTGGATACCCGTTCTCCTTAAGGCATTTTTCAACGAAGCTTAATTATTCTTATATCCTGTTGGACGAACATAACTTCCTAGCCCTGTCGTACAGTGTCCAGTATCACTGTATTTCACTATTTCCACTCATTGTCAGAGAATTTTAACATACAACAAAAGTACTTGTTGTAGCCTATATTAATCCGTATATAAATACGATTTGTTTAGCAGTGAAAATGAAATCGTCGCAAAGAGAATTTTCTTGTGTGAAAGCTGTGTTTTTTTGTATCAATAGAGACTACTGATTGGAATTAAGAACACATCAATCAGTAAACAGATCTCTCTTCTTAATTTCGGAGTAAAGTTAAGAAAAGAGATCTTTCTGCTGACTTGTATTCTTGATTATATCACATAGGAATTTTTCATACCCTGACTGAAACTACCAGACGCCAATTTCAATTTACTGTCTACGCCGACTTAGACGTCAGTGAAAAGCTTGGAAGGAGGACACGCAGTAAAACTATAATGCAAAATGAAGAGGAACATATATGTCTGTACCATTGTAAAAAAAAAGTTCAGGAGTGCTACAAAGAGTCTCTAAACCCTTCATCTCTACTATTCAAAACCACCGTCTGGCAACTGACAACTCCTTGAGCACCTCAAAATACTAGTCAGCAACTGCATAGATTGATGCTATGTTTTGATTTGTAAAAAAAACCCGTTCTATTTGCCAACTCCTAAGAAGCTTCGCCGATTATTTCTAGAGTTAATAAAAATTAATTTTTTCTAGGCACATTTAGACAACACTAATTACTACTTTTTTATAGCGCTTATGACAATTTAACATCGTGATTTTAAAAAATAAGCAAACAGATTTATTTGAAGCCAAAGCTTTGATATACTTCGAAAATATACCACAAACAAACAAACGAAAAGGGCTTACAGCGAAAGAACAAATGTGCCTATAACATGATATCACAGATATTCAACACAACGTAGGTGGTTTATCACAGTCTAATACATGAATATTATTCGTGTTTACCAAGCTGCACTTTATTATTCACATGCTGTTAGTCATATCTACTCTGCAATGTTGATAACATTATTACAATTTAAATAAAATGAACTTTGAAACCACCAAACATCTTAACAACAATATGGCCAAAATAAGCTAACTGTATGTGCAATAAAGTGTCAAAAAATGAAGTACAATTACTCTAGAAAAACAACTTTATTTACAAGGTTTAGCTTACAATACAAACAGTTTTTCATGTGATAAAGTTGTACCTAGTTTTCAGTAATAGTAATGTACAAATAATGTTGAAGTTTTAGAATGGTTAAATTGACTTAGTTCAATTAGTAAACAGAAATGATCTCACATCGGTTTTTCTTGTTATAACAAAACATATAAGTTTATTTATAGATTTCCTTTCAACTCCCGACTTCGTAGCCTATGTAGCTCACGATGTACCATTTCTCGTGTTGAACCCCATTTTCTGCCTTCCAGTGGACAATTTGCAGCTGGAGTCCATACTCCTTTCACTTGATTTGGATGATAAAGCTTTGGAGGATCACCTTCTCTTAAACGGATGTATAAATTTGTGTAGTGAAAATTAATTTTATGCGCTGTAGATCTAATACCCTTGTATAAACGGGGAACCATTCGACCACGTAGAGGATAAAGTGACTCTAAAGACAAAAACAAAATTTAATAATAGAAACAATGAGCCATCTGAATGAATACATAATGAACGCATTATGATGAAAGAAATAATTCTGTACGAAGTATACAACTCTATACAGCCTATTTGTCTATGATTTTTAAATACATGTATAAAAATGTTGTCTAATAAACAGTGCTACCAAAAGTTGTGTTCATCCTGAATATTTCCGGAAAACAGCAATTAAAGAGTAAATTAACGTGATTCATTTAACTGAGAATAATAATAATACACAATTTGATGATACCCTTAGGCATTGACAGTGCTCAGTGCCTTGAAATTAACCAGCCTGTAATAGGCCGTTAAGTAACATGAATTAAAATGTGACTTATGATAACCACTTTATAACATATTGTAATTACATCTCTGTTCATCAATACTTATGATTGAACACTACTACTAGATTCAACAAGAAATGAGGAAATTCCAACGCGTAACCTATAGGTTATATCTCAGACGTTATACAGATTCCATATTTTGACTAGGCTTTGGTCTTCATAGCTCAATTAATAATAAAGTACCTGGCTAGTAATCGGAACCACGCATGTGATCCGAGGTTCGATTCCCGGTTGACGCACGCACTCCTGAATTTCGCTAAACCGATGGTACGGCTAGCAGACACACCCCGTAGAAATAAACCTACTGAAACTGAGATTTCAAAGGCCTATGTTTCACTAGGAAGGTAAAGGAATAAAATCAAAATTACAGGCAATCGGGTAGTTGCTGATTCAAATGGCATAACAGTTATTGCAGCTGACTTCACTATTCACAGAATGTGCTTTTATCCTCGAAATTTTGTTTATTACTTCTGTAAAGCACTTTGATTTTTTTGTATTGATCGAAATATTTAAATTGATCCAATTGAATTTGTGCATAACGCTTCGCTTGCTTAAACAAAAGCCTGGATTTATCTATTTGTGTTTCTCTACACTTTTGTAACTTTTCTTATTACATAACAATGCATTAATTTGGATAATGATCAGCAGTTTATTTTTAAATTCTTTTTATACAATTTTCTTCAGACTTTTGTAAACTATGTGTATAACTTTAACACAACAAGTTATTCACATGTTCATCAAAATTTTAATTGTATTTTTTTAGCTGACAAGAAAGTTAACGAGAGAAAATAAATTGATGATATCTTGTAAGACATTGTGTTTGTCTTGTTTATGTTTATTAGAGTGTCAAAAACAAACAATAAAGTGGTTACCTAACAGTTACTGTGGCGTGTGTTACTAACAAGATGTATCAGTAGTAAATAAACAGACGTTCAGCAACACAAAAATATCAAATAGCAAAGTGATAGACTTGACGTCAAAGAGAACAAATGAACCAGTGTTGCTAAAAAAGTATGAGAGACACGAAAAGAAGACAAAGAAACACAATACGAAGTGCAGAAATAGCACAATACAGAAGGTCTGTGCAAATGACGGTTTTCAGATAAGGTATACATCATTTTCTTACATAGAGATGTCAGCTACCAAATAAACATACCGTAACACTACGTGCATCTTTGTGCACACACTGGGAAGCTAACCTTACCTTTGTTATTATATGAGAGAACTGATAATAGTAATATATATGGTTTCAAAATGATGATTATAACTTGATACATTTTAATAGTAACTATTTTGAGGACACTCTTACTTAGTTAGCTGAAAAAATACTCATATAAAAATGATCAATATAATGATATTCAGTGTGACCTGACTGAGAATACCTGCAAATGAATGATACTGATATTCTGTAGTGATAATGCTTTATTCGTTAATGATACTTTTATAGGATGAATTAACATCCTACTAATTGGCTACGTAGTAAGAACTGATGTAGCAGGAGTCGAAAGAGGTTTACTGGTAAAGTTTGTAACGTAATCACTAAGTTGAATGATATTGTGTATCAATCGACTGTGATTTGTTACTTAACATTTTTGAACCAATAGATACAAATTCCCTATCGGTACTTGTTAATAAGATGAATCTCCAAACTTAACCTATTCCTGCAGGCTATCATTTAGTCCCCCAAAAAAAGAGTATGTCATAACGCCAAAGATTTTCATACATTTAAAAAAGAATAAAAATAGAATGTTACTAAGATGTGAGGATTATGAATTTTGCGTCTTCATCTGATGCCGACTGAAAACTAGGAATTGACACGAAACTGTCCTCAAAAATGTGGAATACTACCAGAAAAACACTTTTCCATTTGAAAACACACACACACAACCGTTAAATATTCACAAGTTATTTAACAATGGAAACACAGTGTCAAATAAGTGTGTAGTAATAATAATAAATTTTACTGGATAATAATTACCTATCCAAATTTTTGTACAGAACTCAAAGTCATGTTCTTTCACTGCTAGTTCTATTGCCTCTTCTAACACCTGTAATCAAACCGAAACAGACATTTCCGTTAGTGATAATAATAATTTTGAGCAAGGTTACACAGTATTGAGTACGTTGGACAAAGTATTTGCTTATATATACAGAAAGTACTACTACTACTAATGATAATAATAATAGGATTATTCTGAAACAATATTTATATAATGTACAGAATTTTCAGCTAAGCTAATTGCATGTCATCTTCTCTTGGTCAGTGGTCTTCAAATAAAAGAATAATCGACAATAGATAGTGTGACACAGTTCTTGAGAAACTGTGGGTTGTAATTGTTTTTAATATTCGCCAGAGTACACAACACTTTTAGAGGTCATATTTTACTAAATCTGAACAAACTGAATAATGAAAATTATATGCAATATATTGATGGTGGTGTTTGGTAGCCCAGGTTTTAGCGGCCCGCCATTTTCACATGAAAAAGCTACTATAAACACTTAAAAACACAGACGTACTAAACTCATTCAATCCAAAATATTGATTTCAACAGGGTAACAGTAAAAGTAATTGTCTCAATATATAACTACTTATTAAATAAGAGTAGGCAATCTCATACAGATAGAATTATTCGGTCAATAGCTAAAGAATTATTTTGTGAAGTGAAGTCAAACCCAATGAATTTTAAACAAGTATATTCAATAAACTTTATTTTCATTATGAACAGAAAATATTACAATCCAATACACCAAAACAGTACTTAAGAAACAAAGAAATTGTGAAACGACATCCAACAGTCGTTAACATATTCATATGGAGGTTTTTTGGGTTAATTCAAATGTTTGGTCTGCATGTAGACTGTAAATTACATCTAGAGCACTTAACAATTAACAAACCTTTACTAATAAGTTAATGTGAAACAAATAGGCAGGAAGAAATGGAGATGGATTGGCTATACTCTTAGGAAACTATCAAGTGACATCACTATACAAGCCCTCGAGTGGAACCCGAAAGGGAAGCGGCGAGTTGGTCGTCAGTGCAAGGGTGACTTGGAGGAGGTCATGTGAAGAGGAGATGAAAACGTATGGGCAAGAGAACCGAACGCAATGGAGACGCACAGCTGAAGCCATATGTTCCTCTAGGAATTAAAGGAAGCAATAATAATGCTCAAAGTGCTGTTGAGTAGTTCAAATTTCACTGGATTAACAACAGTTCCAGGCAATACAATCTATTGTTTGATTTTAGAATTCAAAGATTTTATGATGGAATGATAAATACACCACTTAACTAACTACCTAACTACAATAGATGAAACTGTCACACTTTCATTTATGAGTGACGCTCACGGATAATTTTTTCAATTTAGCCACACTTCCAATCAATCTGTAACACCTAAAAATAGGAATAACCAACGCGGAAATCAGTTACCAGACTATGATGGCTCAATCACACGCAACACCTGAAATACAGACACTGGAGTGAAAAGTGCATGGGTCTTTACAAGCCTGGTGGGTGAAGCTAGGCGGTATATGTCCCACTAGTTACCACAGAGAAAAATTGCCACTATTCATTTTTCGGAATGATATAAAGAGTAAACGCTATTCTAGAACATACTTCAGAAATAAATATGAATTGTTTTATCGCGTGCAACTACATATTGTCATTTGATTTCGCTATGAAGGAACTTATTTAAAGTGATAAAAGTCATTTACAAATAAAGTGGAATTTACGACTGTAATATTTCTTTTCCCCCGTTTAGTGTGGGTGAATTTTTATTTAAAAAAAGGAAATATATGAAGATAGAAACCGTTAAATAATGTTAAATTCCAGTTCGCCAAAGTCTATCTTCATAGTGGCGGCTCTAAGAAATTTTCCTAAACTCACCTCTTCAAGAATTCTAGCACCTTTTTCTGGGCGAAATCCCAACTGAGCGAAAGCATCATCTACCGATCGTCCACGAATCTGAAATGCAAAAATAAGGAAACAAATTGGTCTTACGAAACGAAAAGCTCTTATCAATGATACAAGAAAATTTAACGATTTCTAGTGCATTTAATTAAGTCAGACACTAACTACCTCTAAGTAGAGTTTTCCTCATACAGATATTTACGACGCTTAAAAAATATGAACTACTTATTTCAAAATATTCAGACCAATATCCTTTTAAAAGCTTCTGTTTTGAACCAAATATAAGAGGTGTCCAGATTATGTGATTGGGAGGTAGAAATTCAGGTTATCAGAATTTTGTTCAAAATCATCCACACTCTTATTTGCATTCTAATCCATCTCCAACTCTGATTTCCATGTGACATTTAAATGCCGGATACAAGTACGCCCACGATCTTTTACTGAAAACGGCTTTGCTGTCAAGATTGTTCCCTTAAACCTTTGAAGAAAGATATTTTTCATATACAGAGGCAAGAATATTAAAAAGTTGATTTCAGTTAATAGAACTCAACGATATCTTACAGACTTTAGTGTTTGACTTTCAGCTAATGTATCACAGGTTCGAGTTACACGCTACAGCTACTTCAGTTTGGAAGGGGAGCTGGGTAGTATCATCAACCTTCACAACGATAGCAATGAGAGCTAACAAGTATCAAACTTCAATCTAATGCTTTCTTCCTATATACCACCACATATTTGATACCAAACAGTAACCCATACACAGTGTCACATAATTTTACTCTCAAGTTTCACCTAGTTTACCATCTGGTAGTAAAGCTAGAAAGTAGAGAAAGTTGGACGACAGGCTAAAAAACGCCTCGCAAAAAAGGAAAACAACACCGTTACTGAAACTTCAAAGCTTAAGACCTGAATGGAAAAACTACTATTGCGTAATACAGACACTAGAAATTTTTGAAATAATAACAACTCCTGTTTAATGCTAATGTTAAGAGAGTTATATGCAGTGACCGGTTAAAAGCAAAAAGTTCCAAGCTTAAGTTTTTAACATACCAATTGAGCCAGCAACCAAAGTCTCTTTTGACTGTATAAAATATCATCACGGCGGTGCGTAACTTCACCAGGACGAATAATATGCTCTGACACGTCACTTGAAGTCGCAGAAGCTTTGGGCAACGGTGGATAAACTACTTCGTTATATAAACTCCATAGGTCTTCATTGCGACCAGTAGCTCTAGATATTAACGTATTTCCATTAAAGTTGTGGATATTATTCTTTTTGCACAAACTAATAGATGTAGACAGGAAACACTTCGGCGGACGAACATGTGCAGTTGACAGTAATTTTTGAATAGTTTTAGAGGCAATGGAAAACATGAAAACCTAAAAGTGTGCAGTACATCAAGTGTAAAACGAAATAATGATTGATACATCCCCTAAATGCTTAAAATATTAGTATTTACAATTTTTAAGTCTAGAAATATCAGAATAAATTAGTAATTTTAAAAGGACTCGTCTTCACAAGAACTTAATTTTAAAGTACACCTAGGTAAAAATATTTAAAAAACTTATCCATTTGTAGTCGACACTTTAGCAACTGCTGTATGTCAAACGCATCATAAATTGATGCCGTGTCTTGATTTGACTACACTTAACTTTTTTCCACGCTACCCTTGTATTCGCTGCTTGTCGTGAAAAATAATAGCACATAAGCTGAAAAATGTTTTAGTTGGTAAAACTATCCACTAACATGTCCTCCTTACTTAAAATCCCGTATCTGACTACATATTTGAACTAAAATTGCGATGTGAAGTTACGAAAGTTGTTGGACTGCAAAATGAAAGGCATAACTTCTTACACTACTCAAGGATTAGGTTAAAGACCACACTTATTACATGAGGGCTTATGACACTAACCAGCTGCAATAGATGAAGCACAACTGGGACCCGCGACTCAATTATTAAAAACCAAGAACTTTAGCCAATGAGCAACATCCTTATTTCACACACAACACTATGTTTGACCCAGTAAATCATCTTGTACGGGCGAAAAACAGTGGTACTTGGTAGTAGAACTGCTAATTTGGCAATGCTATACAGTGATAGCAAAATATAAACGCCTAATATTGAGACGTTAGCTCACGTTTGCGGCTTAGTCCATCACTCGGCTACTCAAGACTCTTGCAAAGGTCATCACCAATATGCTATTTACAAATCTTGTTAGCTACATGCTTTACATTTTGACACTACCAACTATTTCATAAAAATATCAGAAAGCAGAACTACGACTAATTAGTGGAAACAACATAGTATAAATCATGTGGAGCATGGTTTTGGGATAAAGGACAGTAACCAATATCCAAAAAAGCGTCAATAAACCCGTAATGTTATTATAACAGAGACTATCCACGGCTTAGAGACTTAGCGAGTGACCAGAAGCACTTCCAACAGGCTGAAAACTTTCAACAACAGTTGCCTTCGATAGATCTATGCAGTTAACCAGATGGCCAGAAAAGGTAGACAACAAGGAACTCTTAGGACGAATCAACGAAGAACCTACGGCTCCACAAATATACGGAAGAAAAGGGAGATGGAACGAACGCACACTAAGAAGACCGTTGAGTGAAATCGCGGCGATTTGGGCGTCTGAGAGTGACAAGGAGGATACTGCATGAGATGGGAGATTATAGGCGACCTTGGAGCCAGCGCAGGACAAAATGTATATGTGCTACTGAAGCTCCACGTTCAACTAGAGGCCCAAGAGAATGATAATTAACAAGAGATGTGTCATTAAAACCTTCAGGCCAAAGGAACTAGACTTCAGAAGTTTTAGACTTCATTTTTTTTTCAGAGAATACCGACTTATCGCAAAAACTTTAAGTCATATCATTATAAGTAGTGAGTGACGTTTAATGAATAAAGCACCATTAATAGGTAGCGATTCTTAATTATAGTGTGAAATGTCCAAAATGGGTAAGTAGATAGAATGGTAAGTTAACCTATGACTAGGTTCGGTGAATTCATAATTTTATTGCATGCTTGATGGCCATATGAAGGTACCAGTAAACACGATAAACACCCTTAAGTTAGTTAAATCCAGTTGACTAAATTTCACTAGATAAATGAGCAGCTGAGAATTGCGAAAGGCGCGCAGTGCCGGTGTATAACAGCTTTGCACTTAGGTAAACGCTTCAGTTTGACGGCAAGAAAGTATATAAACTTCCGCAAATTACACTGAAACTAAACAATTCTTATTGCTTGAAAATTTTAGTACAATTCTCTAAAAAACATGAGACATAGCAAACGAACAAAAAGGGAGGAGGCAACCGAGCCGTTGTTGGAAATCACTCCTCGTCTACATACACAACTGTTTCAAACGGTGCTAAGGTGTCTGGAAATCCCTTTGAGTACTTTGTCCAATCAACTATTTAGTTGCTATTTTCTACGGCCCAACATAAACAATTTACATTGAGATAAAGCGGACATAAATATATTAAACAACGCAGTCTGAGCACTTAGTCAAGGAATTAAGAATAAACTGCAACAGTGTACTAGTTACCTAAGAGTATATCCATATTCCGTTACAGAAAAAGGAGTGCATTGCATTTGATTTAAGTGCAATAATTAGGAGAACAAAAAAGAAGAACCAAATCAGCAAATTGGCTGTTTTACTGCATTAAGTATTTATAAACAAAGACTAATTTAGGGACATCGTATTACATATCAAAAATACAAAATATTGTCTATCTCTCTGTTTTGCCACTTTCTAATGTAGTGGATTACGATTATTGACACTCTAGTCATATTCTTATGTACATTTATACGTAAAACTTGTTAACTTATATACAACTAAGAACCATAATAAAACTCGAAAAGAGACGAATATGTTTATTATATGATATTAGGAACAGCAGCAACTTATTTATCCCACCTAACACTAGATAACCTAACAAATTCAATATTACAATGAGAAGTAACGTTACTTTAATATTAACCGCTACACAACAATTAAATAACCAAGGGTGTCGAAGTATAAATGACTTTTATTGCTTGTAACGTTGTCTAATATTGTTAGGATGTGATCTGAGACGTAAAGTGCCAACTGACGATTCTTTGAATGAAACTTTCACTTTGTCATATGCTCATTTCGGGAAAAATTAAATATAAAATTTTCAACGAAAGGATTGAGAATAAAACTACGTCAACCCTGGCCTGTCTCTACTGTTCAAGTCAAGTGATTCCGGAATTAAACTTACCTTTTATCACATAGACTCATGATATTCCAGATTCCAAAAAAATCTCAGAGTTTAACATAAAGAAAGAGGAAGGGTGGCGCATGCTGATCAGCAGATATGGTATTGGTAACAAATGTGAATCGCTCCGATCTGTAGGATAGCAACATGCATTTTTTGACTGCAGGAGAATTAATTATAAGTCTCAACCCTTAACAGAAAAGGAAAATAAGGGTTGTACAGATCTAGATTATTAAAAATGCTTTTCCTCCTACAATCTACAAGCCAGTTCAGCTTCTTAATAATAATAATAATAATGATAATTTGCCTTATTCCAAAACAGTACATGTGATACAGAATGGAATTCTCAGCATTTTTACTACAGTATTGCATCCAGTTAGTACATTATCAATAAATAGAATTCTACATAGATAAAGGAAACACAGTTCATTATTACAACAATACATTGGCATGTCGGTAGCAAAGGTAAAGCTGAAACGGTGTTTGGAGGTGTTAGAAAAGTGGGTGCTGATCACCATCATGGGCCCTACAGAAACTCGAGAGGCATCTTACAGGTCAGCTTGTCCTACGGGTTCTAATCTTGCAGATCTTTGAATTAAATTCTCACTGAAATATCACTTATCCACCTGACGATAATCTTTTTATTCACAGACTCTTACACTCTATTTTAATGTTAACTACTTGGGCCTTTGTTAAGGCTACAACTCACTCTTTGTTCATATTTGTTGCTTGCTTAAAGTCTGGTTGCTTTAATTGAAAACTAAACAGCACCAGTTTACGAACAAAGCTATATTTTCATCGACAACGTCATAGTTTCAATGCTTAGACTAAATTGGTTAGCATCGAACATGGCAAATTTATACTACCATTCCAAGGAGTCTCCAGCTGCTTCTTGTATGTATCTTGTAAATGTACTATCGATGATGTATTATCTATAAGTGTATTTGATACCATTTTGCAGCTTCTCAGGACGTCAAAATAAGATACATATTTCTGGATCAAAATCGTACTGCAAGCTAGGGATTGTGCACGAACGAGCTGACTTGGTGCGGCAGCGTGTCGAAAGGAACGGAGTCTTGACCGCAAACCTTGAACTCAACAAGCCGACTTGAACAGTGAAGTTCGGCATCCAACACTGAGTAAGGAACGGTGTAAGCTAATAATTTCTGGGAAATATAAAATGCTACAGCTCAATTCCATCTTGCCGGGTTGCGAGGACCTTAAGACGAAGCCAGCAGTTAGTAGAATGTAGATGGTAGCAATATTAGTTAAATTATTACGATGGGTTTGTTGGCAATGGGTTGTCTGCTGGTTTTTTGCCTATGCCATTGTCGTATTTGCGAATCGTCTCGAAGGCTTTCGTCGGCTGGATCTCATGCCTCAGACCTTCTCGTCCAGTAACTCTTACACTTGAAAAAGAACACAAGAATGCTGAGCGTTATCGAATATTTTTTATCAAAATTTTTGGTTAGACCTTGACATATGTAAACCATGCCTGAAACTTTTTTAAGCGACTTGCACGTTACATGTATGGTCATAAAAATTACACTTTATTTACGATATGGGATGCATTGACAAATAATCTGCATGCTTTACAATTGCCATAAGCTAAATAGTTTGCATTTTTTTAAAGATGTAGGAAACGTTATCCTTAGCATGCAAGAAAGGCATGAAATTTCTTTGGGGATCTGAGAGTCTAATTAGAAGCTTCGTCTGTCTTCACAGTTCTGGCTGCTTCTCCGAGGTTTAGTGTGCATTCGGTTGGCTGTGTTATCCAGAACTACTGTTTTAATTAGTATGGAATTGCCTTCTAGGTAGGCCTGATTTGGAAGATGGACTCTGAGACAGCCTTGGAAGCCATCTTTTGTAGAAAGGAGAATTCGTCCAAGTGTTTAATAACTTCACATGGTCCATCGTATAGGGCTTCTGGCTGGCGACGAACAAATATAGGTGAACTTTCTAAGTCTGTGTCAAGAAAGACATCCATAGACTGTGGTCAAAAGGGAGCAGGCTTAACTGAATTCACTGAGTTTTCGGGCATGATGACAGACGAGACATGATCTAAAGTTTATGGGAAACTGGAGAGGGAAACAAACCTGGCTGCTAGAAGTAGTTTCATTCTATATACTAGCTCAGCAGAAGTGCAGCCAGCATCGGTTTTGATAAAGTCAAAGAGGGGTGAGGGGAGTGATTTAGTCTAATACGTAGTGTTTGTGACTAGCGATCCAGCCGTCAGTTGTCTGTGAAAAAGTTATACCACACCACTTGTTTGAGAATAGTGTGCCGCTGTCTCTTAGCTTATGCAGCCTAGGATTTTATCCAAAGCTAACGGTAAACAATACACGATTTGTTGTTTTGGAGGAAAGGAGTCCAAACTTTGAGATCCATCTTTCTACGAAAAAGCATGCTACGGTTTTAGCGGATTCGTCTTTGATTGTACAACTATAGTCCATCGAGCATAAGGGTCTATGCATGACAAAATATACGTATATCTAGGAGATTTTTGATAGGGTGCAGTCAGCTCTGCATGAACGTGTCAGGAGCAGGTATTTGGGGTAAGAAGTGTGTCGAGGGGGCTTTCGATGCGCCTTCCCTATTAGCGCTATAGGAAAGCTAGACATGTAAGGGCCCAATGCAAAAATTCGCTATCTGTATCATACCAATAAAACCGAATGATAATGCGCTTGATGGTAGTTTGAATGCCTGAGTGATGCATTGCAACATATTGAAGACGTTTCGATGATAATTTATAGTCACGATAGGGCGATTAGTACATGTAGAAGAGTCACAATGCACAGCGTCCTTGCTAATTCCTTACACTTTCTCGGTTAATTCCACAGATGCTGTCGATAAATCATGATGACGCTCGGTTTACTCCATTTGGAGACGAACCAGTTCCACTGTATCTATGCCATCTACTTGAATGAACAAACAAATGCGTGACAAAGCATCTGTCACTGTTGTTGACTCTGGATAATACCCAATGAAAACTGTGAAACTTAATCTAGGTGTTGTGATTTCTTTGGTAGATACATATCTGAGGTTGATTTCAGAGAGAACCTGACTGCTTTATGATCCTTGAAAATTATGAATTCGCGGTCCTCCACTGAACGTCGGAAGCATAGCACAGTACCCAGCCAGAAGTTCTGTGCCGACTATGTTGTTCTATATTCCTGATATTCGTAGCAACTTCATAAAGAGGCGAGTGGTTGACATTAATGAAAACGTCATGTTTACCTAGCCTACCGAATGCCATGTCCAAGTGTTGAAGTTGATTTAGTTGCCTCTTCAGGCTGAGTTTGAAGCTGTCAGATAGTGGATAAACAGTGTCTCAGGAGACCAGAGTATGACGACTGCATATTCAGTATGGCCATTTAAAAGCTTAGTACACATTAGACTGAATACCTCCTTGTTCAGGAATTTGTGTTATAGTCTTCTTTCAGTTGTTACACCAGAATTATGTCCACAAGTTTACAGTGGATCAGCCTAACGACTTAGACATCTGCGTCGTCAAAGTTTTACTATAGTGGAATAGGTGGATACACGACAGCCCTGATCGTTGTTTCTGTACGAGGCCAGTAGTTAAATGACCTGAAGTGCTTTCAGACAACTCTGGTAACCGACCTGCTTGAGTTCCTTTTGGCATAATTCGTTTTCGCTTTTGTATCAGTTTTCTTCCTGCCCTCTCAATAACTGAAATCCAGTAGTGTTCGTTGTACCGAACAGTTTTCGAAGAACAAGTGGTGAGTGTGTCTACTAAAACCTTATTAAATTCCTACGAAGCTAACATGTTTGCATAAGGTCATTTTCTGTGCTTTACCTGCTCAAGGCATGTTCTGGAAAGTATGAATATGATATGTAGATGTGCTTCATATCACAAACTTCACATTTTTGGATGACCTCATACCTGAATACTTATTTCACTGTGTCCAAATGACGGACTTTCAGAAGTCAGCTAAAAACGGGCATGACTCACTACCCAAAAGGTTATCCGAATAAAAAAATAAGTAAATTTGTCTGGATGTTTCTCCTATCCACCTCTCATAAACCTCCAGACCATTACATCTATTAAATCTTCAACATATCCTTAACTCAGGGTTAGAGAACTAAGGAAATATCGGTTGTATCACAAGTGTACAAATGAAACGGGCCGGCCACATCACAAATCTTTGAGTACCTCATAAAATCAGGACATCCACTCACTCCTTGTTCATCTATAATTATATATCTATAGAATTAAGTGATGAATATGAGACTCTGGGTTTCAAGAAAGAATTAAATGTGGATGATGAATGTGACTACTAAATAGAAAATTCTTATAAATTAAACAACCTATTTGATTCAAACGTATTAAATCGCATAAAAATGTAATGCATTAATTTGTGTACCTTCTAGACAGGTTTCAGCCTGTTCATTTAACATGAAGATATGAATGGTCTTGCTTGAAAGTTGCATAAGAAATCAGTAAATATGGCAAAAGACAGTAAATTTACTCAGAATAATAAGCTGTTTTTGTCCTCTAGTTTAAAGGTTACTTTCATAATCATCACCATAATCTACGCCAACCTATACATGTTGGTTCTCAAATGTATTCTCCTTTAGCAAATCTTTGATTGCGAATAACCAGTTATATCTTCAAATGACTGGCGTAAGCCTAATTAACGAACAGCTTATTTGACTATGCTTGAGTATGTTGCGATAAAAAGGTGTAGATCCAAACATGACTTATTTCCTCATTGTGTAGACAAGCCTGAATGTACTTTGACCTAAATACCTGAATAACTAGATATAAAATGATAAAAGAAACCTTTTAAACAACACATGTTACTGCATATATTATAATGAATAGCACTAACAGTTCCCCCAGAAGAAAAATTACAATCTTATCTATCTACAGATTCACTTGACACAGCCACATATGGAACAAAAAGGCAATGAACAAGAGGGGGTAAAAGAGAGAACGAAAAAGATCATAAACACTAAAAATGGAACTGAAATTTGAACTAGAAAATATGCTTAACAATAAATGGGGAAAATGATGGTAAACAGCATTCATCGTTTATTGGTTTATTGTCCTTTTAAGCCATCTAGATTACAGTTCACTTCTGTGAATATAGAATAAATTCCCTTAAACCACGACCACCAGAACAACAACAACCACAACTAATTTAAATAATTGCATGGTAGATTGTAAAAAAATTCTTATAAATTCTATTTGTAAGCAAAGATTCAGAACAAACAGAATACAGTGTAGAGAACAGTACACTTATTCAGTGGAACTAAACAAAATACAACTTGGAATGTAAAAATTGTCCTGGTTAATTACAAAAATATCTTTTATCAATTTTTATGTACATATTTAATGAATAACTGAATGGAAGACAACAAAAGAGAAAATATTATCAGCATTAGTTTAAGATTTATCACTAGTTGATTGTTCCGCCTCTTCAGTTTTTTTCGGTGACTCAGTTTCCTCATGAAGACTTTTAATGCTTTCGCCAATCCCAGAATTTCGACAAACAACACACATAAATGAATTATTGCCAATTACAGCTCCTTCACTACAACAACTGTTCAAATGCACCCAATGATTACAGTAATCACAATGGGCCCAGTCGATTACCTAAAAAATTGATAATTTTCAAGAAAATCTTAAGTAATCGTATACAAAAACAAAACTTTTTCTTTAATAAAATTGCCTCTTAATTATTTAATAACAAAAATTGTGTAAACAAAGAGAAATCAGTCTTAACACTATGATATCAACAAAAATCAAATGATTAGTGGTGAGTCAATGCATAACACAACAAAATAACACCATAAAGCATAATTGTGAATATGATTTGAAGTCGAGGATACAATTAGTATATTCAGACTTTTAAGGTGATAAACTGAAGTATCAGTTTTTAACAAACAAAAAATCGACATTCAAAGAAAATTTTTAAATAACATTACACTCTAACAAAATGTGTCTTTTCTGTTGTAATTGTTTTCAAACAACATAGGATAGTAAACTAACGAAAAGAAACTTATTCGTGTCACACAAATCACTAGGTTTTTTTTTCAAGTTTCTAAAGTTGATCAAGGACATTTCATCTCCAGGCTTTGTGACACACTCAGTACTAACTTCATTAGAGAGTTTTGTTTTGGTGTTGTTATCAGGCTTTATGATGAAACGTTAACGATCAAGTATAAAAAGCTTAAAGAACCCTGACAATTTTCATCATCAGCAGTATACTACGACACTGAAGAGTCTATTTTTTCTCAAAAAATCACTAGACTATCTAGAATTTAGTACGTTCGATGAGTTCCATAATTTGGTAAACTTCTGAGGAATGTAGAAAAATCACTGCTACACACTTTTTGACGTATTCCGTTTCACTCAAAATAACTCTGTCAATAAACACTACAGTGTTGAATTGAGACTTTAAAACAAGATATTTGTGGAAGTAAATGACATCTAGGGAAGTAACTGATTTGAAGATAGTTCTAACGAACAATTGCGAATGATTAACAATCCATTCATTCGGAGTCACAAGAAATGGGCAATTATTTTATTCTAGTTTTGTTTATTCGTGACGACCTACAACCAAAGATCTATGCAGGATTGATGAGGGGATTCTAACGCTTAACGGGAATACTTTCAGCTATCACGACAGAGCCTAATGTCCCTCATTTAGCGACATCAGTCATCTAGTGATGTAACGCGATCACTTTCATTGTCATTCGTACACCTCTGTTCACACTTGCCAGTTAAAAGTATTATCATCTTGCTAGAATTTAAGAAAACTCATCTCAAAGGTAATTGTATAGTTCAACTAAACGATTTGTGAGGAACTGAGTGATACGAAGAAACAAGTGATCACAAAATAACAGGAATTATGAAACCGACGAAAACCATGATGATAATGAGATATGAGTTTCTATACAAACTGCTCTTCAATTAAAGGATGGAATACTTCTCCCCTGATATTCTCCACTTAATGTTCAAGTTGGTCAAAATGGTATTTATTAGCAAAAAGAAAGAATGCAGTGATTTTACTAGATATCTGAAAAAGTTTTAACTAAGTTGCAGTTTAAACTTTCAATTTTAAACATTTTACCTGTAATTCATTTGAATTTGTCTGGTTAGTATTCGGTTGACAAGATAATTCTGGTGGTTCCAACTGGCCACAAACAACACAAAAGTCAAGTGCTTCACCATCTTCTATGCCATCCATACTTTCAACAACTGCTTTGTTAACAGGGAATTTTGCACTATTTGTTTGAGACAACTGCATATGCTGACCTGCATTAAAGCGTGTTTCATTCGGTACTGTTTGTGAGCTAGATGTTTCACAACCCACTTCTTCTTCATGAGAAATATTTACATCTGAACTAGCGAAAGTATCCAAAGATGGAGCATCTTTGCTTGGACGAGATACTGGTTCATCCTACAACATAGATTATAAAATTTGATGATAAATAAAATAAAGAATCTAAACAGTGGTAAGTGAATGTAACAGAAGTATTAATCGTATAATAATAGGACACAAGTCATATGTGATACAGTTATCATGCATATAGGAAACAAACTGAGATCGTAATACACAATTCAGAATAACTGTATATTCAGAAAGTAACAGTCAGTATTACGCAATCAACACAGAGTATAGGCAAATATACCGTCAGTTTGATTGAGTAAACTAATTTAGTGTATCACAGAAGAAATAATAATAATATTCAGAGCGACAACCGAGATTGATTGAAGTGAAACATTCTTTCCAAGTCAAATGTCCTAGTAGTAAGCAAAAACAAGACGACAAAGCTAATCAACAATATGAAAGAAAGCTCTTTGACTATCAAGGTTACACGTAGATAGCATTATTCTGTAAAATATAATGTAGTATTGGGCATAATGAAGTAATACTTGCTTCTCAATAAAGTATATATATATATATATGCATATATATGAGATGCGTTTAAATCAAATATGAATGTATTGGGAGAATGGAATAAAAGCAAAGTACCACCTTCGAGACAAATGAATATAGAAGAATGCTTAAAAATAAATAACTCTTCAGAATTAATACCGTTCCACTTGCATGCAATGAGACGGGCTGAATAGCACCTGCTGCAGGACCATGCAAACGTATAGTTACCGATCGTCCAGAAGGCGAATACTGTGTTACAACAGCATGCGTTGTTTTGAAATTATTTTCATGAGATGACACATTCTGTTTGCAATTGAATGCATTAGATTTAGATGTTAAAATATCTAAAAAAGTAAAAATAAATACAAAAAGCACATAAAAATATTGAACTGCATCAATTGTCAGAACATTTATTCACTGTACACGAAGATATTTTCTACCGAAGATATGTGGTGAGAGCTGTCTACTAGCCAAATTGGTAGACAGTAATTTACGTCAATATTTACGTTCCCAAGATTTGTCGTGAGAAAATGTGAACAAAGATTGATTCAAAACCGACCACAGCAGACTGCGTAGGCGGATGCAGTTAACATATAGAGGATTTGACATTCAAGAAACAGTCACAAATAGATGAAAGATTAACTTTACGTGAGAAACAACCAATCGGAAGACTGTGTTCGTTTGCTTAAATATCCATAATAATGTACATGCAAATATATAAATATGCGTTGATTTCCTTAATAAATGATCTGTTGCCTGACTCTTGCCTTCTGTTGTTACAGATATACATTCTCCAAGCATATAATCAAAGCTGAAGGACTTGGAACATGGAGAACATTTTCGAGTTAGGTTAGAAACTAAAGTAATTTTAAGGCATGTTTCAGTGACACACCACAAGATCAATAAAAAAAAATGTGCAAAGTAAGGTTTTTTGAGTAGATTTAATCAATTAATTCAGTAAGTCAACCTATCTTCAAACATTCCTTCGTAATATGTATGCGCTATGATTATCTGTCTTGTACAGACTAACGAGTAATACTTAACAACTGTTTTTATCTTAACTTGTAATTTCTGGGAAAACCAAAATGTAGTGTCGATAAACTAAACAACTACTTTATCTTTCGTTACTTACCCACCTAAAATCAAAAACAAGTGATGAAAAAAGTTATTCTAAAAAGAAACTCGATATATTCATGCTTACTTTGAGGGTTTTCTGTTGCAGGAGTGGTCGTCAACTTAGGCAGAGTAGAGTTTGGATAACATGGATCAATAGAAGTATTGATAATATGATCTTTTGAATCGCCACCATTTACAATGCTTGTATTTACATAGTTGAGGTAGCTTGGTGGACATTCTAGTTTAGAGAACTGACAGTAAGGGTTCATTGCTTCATTGACTAGATATGGATCACTATTCTCTCCAGTCATACTGCCTTGTTCGTATTCCTCTATCTGCTTAAAAAATTACCACAAAAACATTAAGATTTGTTTCAAAATCAGCTACAAAAATCTTGCAGGAAAAACTGGCAAAAAAGTCACAACACAGAATAGTCAGAAATTTTAATGGACAAAAAGCAAAAACTGCAGATATTAAACAGATCTAGATTTCAGTTTTCAATAAATTAAATTATATGAGTGTCATTAAGAAAACGTAACATTACTGAATTCTAGCTCAAATAAAGTCAGAAGTGTACATCGTTGACATTATTATAATATTATAACATATGTACAGTGCACTTCCAGTAAAAGCGGTTGCTAGTTAACGTACGTTCGTGAAGAAATATACCTAGAAATTAATCGATTTATCAACATCTCTGAGACTAATTCAAAAACTAAGTTGATGGTGAGATAGTTTTCTTCAGTGAATAAATATCATGGTCATAGAAAATCCTTGATTTCACTAAAAATTTAGATTATTACGCCGAAAATTGAATTTAACATATGTAAAATAAGGGGCCATAATATCCAATCCACATGTAAATAAATAACCTGTAAATAATTATCACCAGACAAAAGTTGAAACTTATTCTTCAGAGAGCAATAAAATAAAACCTCGCTAAAAGTAGCGTAGAAAGTTTGTTTTAAATATTCAGTTCACTTACAGCTATTCTACTTTTGATAACTTTGCTGAAGATACTTAATCCAAAATAAATAACAAGGTGGGCATTTCACTAAATTCAATGGCAATATTGCAAAAGTCAATATTCCACCATCTTTGCTTTTGGTTAATATTTAAGGAAACACTAGAATATAAATTACGGAATCTGTCGGCTTACGTGCAGTGAGTAGACTCTGTCATGTCAAATGAATAAGAACCGGCATAACTGAAGAATTAGGTAGTTGGTTAAAAGCTAAGTGAAGTAAGACAAAGTTATCGTGGAAAATAGCCTTCAGGTCATTAGAAAGGAGGTTAGAAAAGATCACCGAGAAGATATCTTAGCAGAACTTCTTGTTTTTTCTCTCTCCAAAGGCCAAGATTTGTTCACTCGGCAGTCTCCTTAGCGTGTGTCTAATCCATCTCCATTGTCTTTAGCATATTTGTTAGGCAATAACTTCTTTCCAAGAGTTCCCTGTTGTTTATCTTTTCTGGCTATGTGATCTTCGTTATCAAGCAAAGGCATTCTGTTGATGAAAATCACATACCGTCACTTGATACTAGCTCGCTACTTTGTCAGCTAGTTTATGCTCAAAAATGGAGGGAAGGTTGGAATTGGAGCTGCCAACCCTACCTCGGAAAATTAACAATAATCGCTAAAAAAAAACTTCAATACACAGCCAAAATATAAAAAGTAAACTTTTTCCCAATCTACAATAGTAGGAAAATTCAGCAAATGTAATAGCAGAAACATACCATAGTAGTATATGCACCAATGGATGCGGATAAGTTGTTAAACGGACAAATTCCCAATCTTTCAAATAAAGCGATCATGTTCTGAGCATTTAGGGCTTTTTCATAGGCATGTGTTAGTACCGGAGAGGCATTATTGCGTACAAGTGGTTGGTTAGGATTTTTTTCGAAAAAGCGATCCAAACGTCTTTTGAAGTATCCCTTGAAGTAAGTAGACAAATTAATACATAAATAAAGCAACAATGGGACACATTAATTTAAAACAATAGGTTTGGCAACAAGAGTTATGAATTTCACCTACATGAAATTGCTGGTTCAAGCAGGCAATTTTTATAGTGAACAATTAAAAAGAGCAAAATCATTCTGCAATAGATAAGTTCATTTAATATTCAGGCAACACGCTAAACAGAACATAGTATCCTATAACTTGATTTCCTTACAATGTCAAAACGGAAGCTCTTAAAGATCACGATAACACATAGATGTATAAATTGTAGATTTTCAAACGGGAAATATACATAAATGTCAACTGAACCTTAAGACCAATGAAAACCCCGTTTCTGCCTCAATATATAAAAATAACGAATGTACAAAATCTTTAGCTTAGATCCTTGTGAATTATATACTAAACCTTAAACTGCTTGAAATAAATACAGATTCTCAGAGGAACCCAAGAACCTATTAACAAACAAGATATTATATTTGTAAACAGTGAAAATCGAACAATGACCTAATGCAACAGTCACTGGACATAACAAAAAGCCTAAATCTAATGCAAACAACATTCACTACATTTGAATTCGTAGTGATTACTATGAAGTGGAATTCTATCAGATATTTCGCATGACTACAACACATCAATAAGTTGTAAATTTACAACAGATCTCTTTACCTTTCTAATGATTTTAATCGAGATACTAGTATCCACTGGTTTACAATATATACTAATTAATAAATATAAGTGTGTAGAAAATGTATGTTAAGTTTATAGAACAACTCATCATTAACACAACATATTTTAGGTGTAAAGTCACTGGCTATGCCCAGTCGACTTCGTTTCAAAATTTACATAAGCAGTAGGTCAGAAGTGAGAAATAAAAGAAGTCACACATCACGTGATTATTATTCAATAAGAAAGAGGAATATATATAAGTAAACGAAACTGTTAAAAGTACTATGGAAAAATGATAGGAGAAAATGAAACATGAATAAAAAAAAAAAACAGGTAAATAACCTACAATATGACCTTTGTATATAAGTGAACAATAATGCGAAGAAATAGCAGCAAATTATTGAAAGCAAAATCGGCAGTGCGCAGCAAGAAAATATATATAACTTCTAATGGAGATAAGTAGTACAGATTAACAATAGCCTAAGGTTACCTATACATTTGTACACGATAAGTTATCCTGAAGCATACTTGGACGTTATTCAAGCACCGTTAAGTGAACGCCTGAGAAGTCTTAAATATTAGTGATAATTATTAATCTCTTCGTTTGATAACACGATCAATATAAACTTACATGACTCAAATCAGTAGTAGTTGTCTTCATAGGCTAACTCCATGTCTAGACTTGACTACTTGTAACTCTTTTCCAGCCTAATTGTACTTCAGCCAACATTTGTTTTTATTATAGCTTGATTCCACACAGTATTTTTGGTACAACTATGGAATTTTCAGCATGTGATACTGGTAGCCAAAATTCAGCAGACCGACCATTGATATCAATCAGGTGTGCCTCGGCCGGAGATCGAACACCGGACCATGTACATGGTCGGCGAGCGTCACAGCTGCTGTGCCACCGATGCACATTGTACAATAATGAGGGTGGTGGGTCACTACACGTAGTAAATGTTCCAGTCAAATGAATCAATGAAGCTTCAAAAAAGCTTCATTAACCGACTTATCTTCCTCACCTGGTATTCTATGCCTAATTCTATTATCAGTGACTATATGGTTGCACCTAACGCAAGAAAATGAACCTAGGCAAGTACGGAACAACTCCGGACAAACGATCGAAATAGGCTAATTTAATAAAATAATGAACCTACATTATCTTACTTCTGTACATTTAAGTGAGTAATACAGAATTGCAATCAGCAAGTTTATTCTTATAATTTCTGATCACTTGTTTTATCTTTACAAGAACATCCGTGTGAAATTTATATGCATACGCAATTATAAACTACTCACATCTATCTAGTAACATACAAGCTAGTGATACTAGCCAATCAGTCAACCTGTAACAGATGAAAAGAGCATCCAATGCGATTGCAGTCCTTTAAAAGTACACCGCTATGTCAACAGACCTTTTGTTTACAAGTGTAGCAGGAAAAAGTTATGCAGAAAGAAAACTGGACGCATCAATAGTTAAGCATAATAAATATTCGAAAGAAAACAAAAAAACGTAAACGAAATAGTAACTAGCATCATTTAAATGCTACTGAAAACATTCATAATCTTAGTAAGATTAATTTACCTGGAATGCCCAGAAACATGTATTTTCTACACAGTGATTGTAGGCTGGATGAGGAGGAAGTGGAAACAATAAAACACCATCTTCACGAGCACGTTCTAATACACGAACACTGACAAATTGTAAGTGGCCATCATAAAATAGAATAATTGGACGAACAGATACCAGCAGTCGGAAATGTTTAAGGAACCATTGTATGAAAGCATCAGAATTAACCCAGCCAGATGATGAGTAAGAAAATTTGGTACCACGTACAGAACCTTCCATCATAGTTGCTGAGAAAAGAAGTCAATATTTAAAAATAGGTATAGTAAATACCTTTTATAGTAGCAGTCACAAAAGTAGTACAGAATTATGCCCTACTAATAGGCAAAACAGAATTCAATCGTCTAGTTAAACAAGTTGAATAACTACACAAAGCAAATACCTGAAAAAAACAAATAATGCATTTTATGTGTTAACGTCTTTTAAAAATATTAACTAAAGTCACATTTATGAACTTATGAACATATGTCGTTTACATATTACTACAATAGAACAACTGAGCAGTGTAGAAACGGAGAAGTGGTTAATAGCTCAGCACTTTCAAATGGTAAAGAACTAAAACTTTAACGATCCAGTAACTGATTCCGATTGCATAAATTCAAGCTTAAAATTGCGCATTATACTTTGCCTGAAATATAGAATAACCAATCATTGTTGTACTTAGTCAATAAAATGTCGCGCAGAAGATTTTAAGAAAAAAGACGTTTTTCAGTTTTGAAATGAATTATAAAAGAAAGCTTGAGATGACTGTATTATTTTAATGAGGCCTAATTAGATAGTTATTGAGTACAATAAATTGGGATCGAGATGATCGTTACAGCAGTATTATAGAAATAATATTTGAGAAACATTAGTGGACTACACCATAAGGATCTCATTTGATTGTACTTTATTACACTAAAAGCAATTCAGTTGACTCATGATTATGTTTCTATAACGGTAGCAGAAGTAGACAACAGTTTATAGTAATGCCATGTTGCACAACCTGTTAAAGTGAATTTTGATACTTGGTCGATAGTTTTCTATCAACTAACTGCACCGCCTGCTACAACTACTTTGAATAACAGTAGTTTTATTACAGGATTTCATCATGAGCTGACATTAGTTAGAGAACAGTATTGACTAGTAGTGAGACCAATGATGAAAATTTCTTCGCACTAAGAAACTGTCACCCGAATTCACTCTTAGTGCTTCTTAGAAATGATATGATTTATCATGGTCATCACCTGTAATAGCATAGGCTGTTTTGCAATTAACTGCAAATCATCCACCTGAGCTACAAATCTTCTGTAGTATCAAACAACACAGTACAGTACTTTCTTGATGTAAATAGGGCACGCAAAAAGTCGACCAAAGGACGTAATAAAATGATTTTGTAGACTCAATTTAGTATTTTTTTTTTTGTTTACGGAAGATATCTGCTGTAATTTAGGTCGGATATCATGAAATATCATCCTTCATCGCCGTTATGGAAGACATCACACACATTTATTCACTGACACACTTCTTTATATATGTTCAAATGAAAAGTTCACTTTTAACAGTTTGAAAAAATTTGGGCATTGGATATGTGATATTCATTATAATAAAGGTTTTTTGTATTTCGTTTTGTTTTTCATTCATTGGGAAATACAAGAAAACCTTTATTATAATAAACACACTTCTTTCTAAAAAAAAACAGTATGATGCAACTGATATATCTTTTTTTTATGTTGAACTGATATTTCATGCGAAAATTCTTAAACAATATGAACTCATAAAAACTAACAACCTACATAATGACCGGACAAGAAATATTTTTATTAAAGCATACGGGAAAATTGATTTGTCCTTAAAAACAACCTACATGTTATTCCATCACCACGATAAATCAAAAATGGGGGAATTTTTTCGCCAACGGCATTAGCAGCTCCAAGCATAGCTACAGTTGGATTCCAATAGCTTACAGACTGAGCTCGTTGTATACTGATAGGAAGAATACGTGGAGGTTGATTCTCACAGCTTATGCTGACTTCATCAACAATCCAAAAATGTTCTGCTTTGTCTTTGATGCCATATTTATTAAGAACCTAGAAAAGCATAGGAATGACAGTTGAAGGATATGATGACACACCCATATTTAAAATGTACAGAACAATATTTAACACAAGTCAAGCACAGTGATAAAGAAAGGGATGTAAATAATACGCTAGTAACACTACAACAGTAATAGTAATAGCTTTATTTCAAACAATATGTGGAATATCTATGAACAAGGAGTAATGAGCCCATTTAGGATTTCACCGCAACCACTCCAGCTTGGGGATAGCTCTGTAGCTAAGTATGCATAATGTGCAAGAGGAACTTGACAAAACTTATATTTTTAATAACTTTGATTGCAGTCAAAAGGATAAAGAATCAATCGATAACATACTTTTCACATCCATATACTACGATACTAAATTCTAGGTCTAGTATTTTCGAGTTCGTTATTTTTGGACCTAAGGTGAGTATTGGGTGACTGTAGAACCCACAGTTTTAGAGGATACTAAGTAAGCTAATTAATTCATGACTGTCCCAAACAATTTTTCCTTTCTCTTTCTCTCTCTCTCCTTGAGAAATAAAAACAATTATTGAAGAGGACCATAAAAATGGTACTGTTCAACTCTTACAACTGAGATAAAATGTTAATCATTTCAACTTCCAGGAGTGCGCTATTTTCTTTAAGTACCACTGTTGTTAACTCAAAAGTACGTTCTATAAATTATATTTTCCTCGAAGTCAATGACAACTGGAAGTTTTATACCGATATTCATATTAGGCTTCAGTTAGATAAAGAGCAACTGGAGAATGGACGGAAGCCGGTTGAACTGACCTTCAATTCTTTGTCCATCTCTCCAGTCAACAATTTCTTTAACTGACTACTGATCCAAATTTCCATAAATGGTTCTCAATAATGCTTGACACTCAACAGCAATCTGACCGATCAACGTAGGGGAAACAAATAGGAATCGACTGATGAATCAAACTATTTTTGATGTACAGGAATGACCTGCATCACTATTCACTTCTCCCCATATCTTTTTCAATATGTTTAAAAAAAAACCTTAATTTTTCAGAAGTATCCATGGGTAGCATATTTCAGAATGATTGTTAACTATATTGGCTTCATGAAAGATCAGTAAAGTTGGAATTATCAGGTTCTACTGAGGATGCAATCTAGTCAAAGTCATAATGTAACTAGGGTTATTAGACGTCATGCAAGTCTTGTCCTAAACGAGGACATTATTAATTTTTATATTCCATTTATAAATACATATTACTACTCATAGATCAGTTTGAGTAAAGATCCCCTAGAAGCAACAGATCATTATTTTTAGCTTTTCTTCAAAACAAAGTCTACGACCTCCAAGTATATATCCGCAACAAACGAATTTTTTTTATTTCCTTCACGTTCCCCAGTGGAACATACGGTTTCAAGCTAATGGACTGAAGTTTCTGTAGCAGTGCTTATTTTACAGGATAGGGTTGCTAGCCTCATGCCCAACCTTTCCTCTTCACCAGCGTTATTTCTGGCTTAGCGGGGTAAAGGAGTCCGTCGGCCGGGGATCGAACCCCGGACCATGTGAATGGTCGGCGAGTGTCCTAACCACTATGCAACAAACGAATGCCAACATTTAATGACAGAAATATGCTTAATTATGAATTTCAAATGTCACAATATTTTGTCTAGTAAGCCATACACGAGTTAATAACTATTAACTTCGAAAAGAACATGAAATATAATTCCATTGATATACGAACAATGAAAAAAGCTGTGAAATAAAAGAAACTTAAACATACCTTTTCCAGTTGTTCAAAGTAAGACTGTATTGAATCCCCTGAAACCCCCTTAGACTTCCTATTGCTTCGAGGTCCGAACAAGAAGTTTTTCAAGTCCGGCCAACGGTTAAGAAATGCATAAAACCATGCCTGACTCGGATTAAGATACTTAAATGGAGCGATTCTTCCAACAGCCTTTGTCATATCTCCAGCAAGTTCGACAACCTTAATGAGAAAATAATAGAAGATGGGATACAAAAACAAGCAGGGAAAATACAAAGGAATTACAGTAAATTGATATGCTAATATCTGATCACGTGCATTCATTGCTCAATAGAAGTTGCTGCTAGCATAATAAGCACTATACATATATATATATATATTATATATATATATATTATATATATATATATATATACTGCTTTGAACAATAGTAATAATAACCATTGTACTAACCAACTAAATCCCAACAATAGATAACAGAGACCGATTATGTCAACTGAAAAACAGTGGTGAAGTTATTTATTGTTGTTAGGATTATTACTGTTCTAATTCAGTTGCGTAATAATATCAATTTAATGGATGAATACATTAATTTTTAATACAGATAGCATAAATAAAAACTTGTTTTATACGTTTTCCACAGACACCTACTTACAACTCAATAAGTAATGATATACTCGAACAGACGATGAATGTTTACCACTTCTTAACGTATACATTATTTTACAAAAGACAAGAAAAAATTTCCAATCAAGAGTGAGAACAGTGATTAACCAAATTTTATGAAGGGATTTAGTTATATGGAATGAACATTGTACGCAAAAGACATTAGGAACATTTACTAATGTTTTTGAAAAAGTCAGATAAATATGATACGATGAAGAACAAATTAATTCATTTTCCTTCCGACTAATAACAGTCTTCAACATATAAACGAACAAAAACAAGATAAAAAATGTCCCTCAGATACTAAAATAACTGGTGACAAAAAATGTCATATATATATATATACATATATGTACCTGATTCCTTGTGTACGGATAACCAATTTTACTCATGAATAAAATATGATCGACCATTTTCTTTTCTTCTTCATAAGTGAAAAAAGTTGGAGGACCAGGTCGAGAGCACTCTAAACTAACTCTTCCATGAACTCTGTCGCGAAGAGTCGATTCAGGAACATTAAAAGCGGTAGCAGCACCACGCAAAGACATTCCTTGATATTTGACAGCATTGTATGCATTAGTCATATCTCTCTGAGTCCATCTTCGTCTGCGTGTCTAAAACAAAGTGACAGTTAAGTATATTAAGTATGTCTCACTTTGGGTCTCTGAAGACCTCGTCCAGCGACAGAGTCAAAGTTGCGATAGAAAAGTATTTGTTGATGGTAGTCGCTATAAGGGTCTGCTGAATTTATTACATCAGGATCCTCTTTATCTTCAATCTCATACGCATCATCAGAATACGACAAGTCTTCGTCTGCTGCCATAATTAGAGGTTGCTATAAGAATGGAAATAACAAACAAAAGCATAAAAGTGAAACTTTTAAAAAGGAGAAAAGGATCTCAGTAAAATTAACACACGAAAATTGAATCAGATACACAAATAGATAATTTAAAAACAACTTATATGGAACTAAATCAATCCAAAATACGAAAATCACCAAAACAAACTGTTAAATGAGCCGTGACAACCAATTACTCGACACAATTTATTTCCTGATCAAAGAAAAGTAATCGGTTCAAAATTCGGATCCAATTTAATGAGGTAAAAATTCAGGAAAGTAAGGTATATATAAAGATAGAAACTGAGTACAGATAGGACACTAAAACAAAACCTAAGATGTAGTTCAGTAATCAACTATCTGTATATTTATAACTTCATAAATTTCATCTTAGAAACCTATGTTCCTCTCATTTCTCAGTAAACTAATTCACATGCCTAGTTGTTTATTAGACATATCATAATGTGACCACATCAAAAAATGATTACAACAAGCATGTTGTTTCCGACGAGACTATAAATGGTACCACATCCCAAAAGAAGAAGTGATCAGTGCATTTATAGATTTTGAAGTCTAACAGGCTAGTTACTGAAGAAATACAGAAGATGAACGACTTGATCTGAATAGTACTCCATCTTGACTCCTACCACGTTAATTAATCCTAATAAGGAGTTCACACTCTTCTGCGCTGTTAAAACTAAGTTAGTGATCTTAATTTGAAAACCTGTTCTCTTCAGCAAGCGCAAAACTCTACATAGTACTGATTTTAGGGGCAGACTGCTAATCATGCCGTGTTATATGCTCCCACCCTCTCCGCTGGTTCTGGTTTACGACCTCGCTATTCGATAATATAAGTACATGTGAGCGGTGATTCAGAAACAACTGATTTCACGGTGATCAATATTCTAAGAAATATATTTTCAACGGCTTAGCAGGTCAAAGTGGACAGCTCCCTACTTGATTCCGCATAAAAAAGTTATATAAGTGGTTGCTGCAAGTTAGAAAATGCTGAACAAGACTTTAAAGCCTTTCCACTTTTTCAGCAACTACCTCACTGAAGTTATGCGACCTCCCTATCCAACTCAGTTAGTATCATTAAACTAAGTTTTCGTACAGACTTCTCCAACTATATTATTTACTGTAAAACAGGTTTAAAAAACACTCCGCACTCATACTCAATCTTTGTTATTATAGGTGGTGGTTTGCAGTTTGTGACTTCGCATATTTAAACCTTGTATGTTCTTAAGCTAACTGAAAGGTACTGAATAAGTATGCGTGATATCGCTGATATGAAACTGTAAATAAAATTAAATAGCTTGAAGGATAACTACTTTGAAGATTTTTGCACAGAGCCTTTTAGGGGTTTTTGATTTCGACTTCATTGTAATGAATCTGTACTTGAAAATCAACTCTGAGCACATAACAAAACTTTGCAAGGTGAAGGAACGAATTGCTGCTGATAATGCAAGTGTTTTCTAACTTCTCAGCCAAATAACATCAATCAACTGGACGTGCTGGGCCCCATTGGGAAACACGTTAGTGTTAATACATCTCAGTGCAAGTGGTAGTTTCAGATATGAATATCGGTGTTCCCTTGCATATAACAAGATGAAAATAGCTTCATTCACCTTAGAATACGTTAACCGACATTTCTGAAGCTGCAGAACAAGTTTTAATAACTTTTGAACGGCCATTATTATAGGCATACATAAATTCATTTTGAAGTTGTACATTTGATCATAACTAAAACTATTAACAAAATGAAAGTTTCTACATTTAGATTATCTGATTTTATCTGTTCCAGTTAAAAGCGTCCAATACATGAGTTTTAATGCAACGACGGGGTAAACCTTCGAGGCACAGCACAGTCGTCTTGTGATAATCACAGAGGGATTAGCTTGACTAATATAGTATCTAAAATCCTAGGCTCAATAATACTGCGTAGATTAAGTGGTGCTCGGGAGACACAAACACGAGAAAACCAGGCAGGTTTTAGGCCAGGTAGAGGGTGTATTGATCACATCTTCACCCTTCGACAGATTCTAGAATATAGGCATTCCTACCGGCGTCCGACAATCATTATATTTCTTGACCTAAAGGCGGCATTCGATTCTGTCGACCGGGAGGTTCTCTGGCGATGCTTGGCTGTAAAGGGAATGCCAAGAAAATACATTGCACTGATTAAGGCACTCTACTCGTACTCATGCAGCCAGGTGAGGGCTTATGGCGAGTTGTCATCTGAAGTGGTGACGACTAGTGGCGTCCGTCAAGGATGCCCATTATCCCCATTCCTATTCAACTTCATCATAGATGTACTAATGGACTTAACCCTAACTCACTTCAGCGACTCAGGGATTGACTTGCTACCAGGGAAGAATCTCGTTGACTTAGAATATGCGGACGATATAGTCCTTCTAGGCGAGGACTCTGACAAAATGCAGAGTCTACTGAACACCCTGAGCAACAATCTCCGCATGTTTGGCATGCGATTCGCCCCTATAAAATGTAAGATGATGCTGCAGGATTGGACTTCATCGACCCCTAGATTAGAAATAGGAAGTGAAGTGGTAGAGCACGTTGACCGCTTCACTTACTTGGAAAGTACCATCAGCCCCAACGGGTTGATCTCAGACGAAATTTCAGCACGAATACAGAGGGCTAGGTTCGCATTCGCCAGTTTTCGCCGTCTCTGGCGTAGACGCGATATCCGACTATCGACCAAAGGGCGTGTGTACTGCTCAACAGTCCGCTCCGTCCTCCTTTATGGCTGTGAGACCTGGCCATTGACAGCAGACGACATGAAAAGATTAGCTGTCTTCGATCATAGGTGTCTGCGTTCTATCTTCCGTGTGAAGTGGTATAATAAGGTGAGCAATATTGAGGTTAGGCGTCGAGTGCTAGGTAAGGCGGGGAAATCAATCGACGAGACTGTGAAATTACTTCGACTGAGATGGTTAGGACATGTGCTACGTATGCCTAGTCATCGCCTTCCTCGACAATGGGCAATGTTAGCTGATATAGGGTCAGGCTGGAAAAGAGCTAGCGGCGGTCAAACCAAAACATGGCACCAATCAATGAAATCCACAACAGTTAATCTAAGCCACGTAGGAAGATGTAGACTTCCTGGTTGGGGCCCTCGGGATGGTAAAAACCAATGGTTGGAAACAATTGGTGACATGGCTCAAAATCGTTCTCAGTGGCGCAGATGCATCCACTCCTTGTGACTTATGATTTCCAATTAAACTTTTGTTCTCCGTTATTACTATTCCTTTGTCTCACACCTCTGTTTACTGTCTATATTATGCATTTCTTCTACTTCCTTCTCTTGCTTCGCGTGCTACATAGATTGTGGCGACTTGAACTGCCGCACATATGTGCAAAGTTCTATGTCGAGAACCGACCGACCGACCGACCGACAGCACATAAGCAGTCATCTAGTCAGGAAGTTGTTGGTTGCTTGGTGGGAGACGAAAAAAAAGAGATGGAAAAGGCATCAGCCACAAGCAATACCAAACAACTATTTAGGCTTACTAAGGAAAGAGGTTGGAAACGGAAAGTGGTGCGTGAGATAATCTCCGAGAAAGGCAGCGCCTCCATAAGCTATCATGAGAGATGACTGGATAGTTGGAGGGAACATTTCGAGGAGCGATTTAGCTAGCTTACAGCCCCTCCCAAGTAGCCTAGCATCCAACGCTTACCTGAATGTGGTGTAAACATGGGTCCTTAAACTCATTATTCTTTCTGTTGCTTTTCAAGTCTTATTATATTCGCGGTGTTAGTATGTGATGTGACTTAAGAAACGATACACAGCTTACCAAAGAAGCTAAGTTGGACCTTAGATATTGGTGAAATTGTCTATAAAATAAATTACACTCAACATATACGAAACACTTCCCCGTAGATATTATTCTAGAGACTCCTCCTCAGTTTTATATCAGAGTGAGACAGCATAGGTTGGTGATGTAGTTTTTCATAGTCCAAACTTAAACCTCAATGTATTTTTCGAAGAAATTAGAACTCAAAAATTACACGTTAAATATTATGCTTTTCTGAGGCTGGAAGGTCTCTAATTTCATAGCTTAATCAAATTTAGTCATGTAACTTTACGTAGTTTGACAGCTGCAATGACAATAAGAATCTACCTACTAAGAAACTACAATAAATGCACACCATTGTGCTTCTTTTAATATACATATTAGTGAATTAACTTGATCTAATAAGCACTAAAACTAGGTTTTATGGTTGTAACGTTTCTATCTGGAAATGGTAATCAGGACCTTTGTTTACCCACTACTTAAAGAACATGGTAGAACATTTGAAATTGTAACACAAGCAACGTCCAACTACGTACAGAACATGAATATGGCTATGACAGTAATGGTGGGGCTGCAAAAACAGCTCTGATGCAAAAATTAAAACAGGGATACCTTTACGCTACACATGACAGACTGTAAAATATTGTACCTATGAAAACACATACATGTGCATATATCAAACTATGATCCAAATTAGGTGTGTGATAGTCATTACTACTACCTAACCTTCTTAAACTACGTAAGTGGAATTGGGTTTAAAGGTATTACCTAATGATTATAAACTATTGACCTAAACGGATGGGTAATATATAAACAACCAAAGGTCATACAGTCAAAACAGAAGTATTAGTTATTGGTAATGACTAGCGAAACAGTCCCCTCACTGAAGTAAAAAGCAGCTGACGGTATTAGACATGCCACTAGGCCATGTGTCCAAATACTAGTTGAATCACAAAACTATTTCTTTTGAAAGACTCAGTAACATGCCTCATACCATCAACCGAGATAAATATGTGAGGTATTTAACACAGTAGTAAGAAACATACTAAATAATCGACTTCCCAATTAAATCCACTTTGGGGGTGTACTCAATCGGTGTCAGCTTAATCAACAAAGTTATAGGAAGCCATAACAACAGTATATATGCATTTAAGTGACTTACTACAGACTTATTTTGATCATGATAAAAAACTAGTGAAAGCGGAACTCAACGTAATTCGGCATCAGTTCAAGTTGATATACTTCAAAACACCACAAAAAAGCAGAAATACAACACTATAACAGAAGGTAAACAGTGAAACAGAGATAATATAACCTTAAGTTGAGCAGTGACTTTTGAAATTGTGAATATGACAAATACATCTCTGTCCTGAATACTTCCACTGTTATTATCCAACACGACTGGAATACTAACAAAGGTGTAGTGGAAGAATCTTTGATATGTTTCACCGGCTAAAACATTTGAAACATACTAGGCAAGGCCGACGTCTGAACCGCTCTCCGCCTATTCCAGCCTGCGCAGCTGGATAATCAAATGTTTTGGACAGGTCACTCAGGCTTCTCTCCAAACTAATTGTGCTGAAAAAATCAAACTCCTGCTATGACCAAATGGTTTGATCTATTATTTGTCTATAATCCTGCAGTACAGTCTCTGCCTTCTTCAGCCAAGCTGTGAAGAAATCCAGTAGGCAGCTTAAGAGGACATATGATTGGAGGATAGGTTGACGAACTATCAATGAAAATGTCAGGAACTCTTGATGCCTCAGATTCGCTTGCCATTAATACCTTTAAATCACTTTTGCACCAATTATTTCTCAACAGTGAAGACAACAGTGACATTCTTTGGTTTTCAAATCACGACAATTAGCCAATCACAGAGTTCAGAATGCTTCCGTATACCGTGTGACCATTAATACAACCTACTGCTAAATGAAATCGTTAGCTTTTTAATGATACTTCATTACATTTGGTACGATTCAGGAATGATATTAAAAGGTGTCCCATGATAATTTACCATTCTAAAATGGATAATCCTTAATAACTTCTAGAGCAGAACATCGAGATTGCTAACATAAATGAGATAACATGCAAATTGCCAGAGTATAACCACAGTTATGGGCATTATATTAATTTTTTTTAATTGAAGCGTCTGCATGGAAATTTTACTGTCAACCCCATGTTGGCCTAACCCATATTTAACTTCTGCCTTATAAACTAAGAGGTAATTAGAAAAGTCAGGTATATCATGAAACAATGTTTTTGTAAAGAAAACCACAAAATGACTCAAAAGATACATATCCTGCTAGTTAATTGCGAAAATTCTGGTTTGTAGCCAATAAGATATTAATTATGTACGCTTATGCATTATACTTACCGAAAAATCAAAATCAAGTCTCATTATTTATGATGAGACAAGCTATGAAAGAATAGAATCATGAAACTCGAATGTTCGTTGAAACTAGTCCACAAAGAAAAATGAACGATGACAAATCTAACACAGCTCCCTAGACGAGTGAGGCACTTTTCACTTAGTTAGGCTGAAATATATTGAAATGTGAGCTTTGTGTAAATATACACACAGACCCGTTGACTAGCTCACGAAATTTGGATAAACTACAAGTGATGGTGCAAGAAAAATTCAGTGAGCATGGACTGCATTAAGAGTCCAACACAAGCTAAACATAATCAAATGTGATCCAGCCAGGAACTTTGTACAAGCACAAAATACTTATGCTAATGTAATTGTTAGGGCACGTGGGAGGACAACAGTATACGAGGTGAGTCCGTATACGAAAAGAACCATGAAATAACTCCATATTACCAAAAATACAAGAAAACATATGTAAATGTGATGATAAAAACTGAACAAATGCTACCACAACTAGCCAAACACGGAGGAAACAAAGATTGATAATCCATTATATCACCGTGCCTCAGTCAACTCAGCATTAAAAACTGGCAACACACAGTCAGCAATAAAACAGAAATAGACTTACGTGTACGTATACGAGCTATTTGACAGGTATCAGGTAAATCGTAAGGATGCTAATTAACCCAGTTAACCAACTTTTACCGAAAATTAGTAGAACATTTAAACATGCCACATTCCCACAGCTCCGAGTTTAGGAGGTAAGAAAAACAAAATCAAAAAGACTTAACAATCTTAACCAATAAAATGTTAATAATTTTCAAAATTCTAGTCTGATAAAATGTAAAACTTGATTCAGTGGAATGCTGATTGTATGAAAATACTGAATTATTCATGTGTCCGGACACGACGTTACGTTATTCTATCAGGCAAGTACCATACATATTTATGTATTCACTGGTTATACGTGATTGATTTAGTGCAGTTCATAAATACTTGTTCCTTCGCCTTTTTGATTTTCATGTTTTTTTTCAGAAAAAGCAACCTTCTGTTGCAACGGTTATCGTAAAATTTTTATTACGAAATGGGTGAAAACAGGAAATGCAGGTCTCATATTCTACGTCTATAGTTTGTCTTTATCTACAGCAGCTTCCAGAAAAATTCTGTTGGTTTTTCTGCGCCCTCAAAATAAGTGCTAAGACGGTTTAATCAGAATGTAAAAAGAAACCGTTGCCCGAAATTTACCCGAAAACATGATGGCAGATAAAATATTAAGAAAAATCAAGATGTAAGCTGCCGGAGAGAAAATCTTAGCGATTCCAAACTTTTGTGCGAAAGTCATCTTATTAGTTCCCTATTCCCTTATATGGATGGGTCTTTGCGAAATAAACCTGTCCTGTGATAAGTCGTCCTGCAGTCGTCAAGAATCTGACTTCCCGATGGACAACTCGATGAAATCCCTCATATATCTGAAGAAGTACACTCTTCTTAAGGTACTTCTTAATTAAGAACGAATAAACACAGTAAGTGGCTAATAATTTTCCAAAATATCGAGATCAGCGGTTTGACCATACAGGAGGTGATGCAAATCTTTGGATCGTTGAATATTTGAAGTGGACACATAAGAGACAGATGAAGTTGGGAGGAGACCAAAGCAATGAAACTGTCTAATTTGCAATCTATACCGAGCCCGCAACGAGCAATGGGTTACAGGACTGTAGTTTTTACAAAACATTTCGTAGAGGAACCATTCTGATGGTGTTTGAGCTTGGCAATCATACGGTTCCCATTTGATATCACCCGATTTATAAACTTCCTAATACATGTCCACATTTGAGTTGTGATACCTCAATTAACTTTCAGTCCCCAAGTTTTGTCCGTTTCTTACATGCTAGCCTATCGGTATTCATATCAGGTAACTGCTTACGCGAAGAAACTAGCTTCCTACATTTAGATAACATTAAAAATTTGTAGCCCGTATGAAAAAAATTTGAGTGAATTACATTGTTATTCTCTTGAAGTTCGCCAGACACTCAGTAAAATAGAATTCTCATACAGTCACATCATTCATTGTTGTGGTATCTGGTGGTCTTTTAATGTGTGGAGCGGATCAGGTACTGTACCGTCGATCCAAATTTTTACAGACGCTCTGAATTAAATATCGTTACAAACTCCTCGTCATAGCCAAAATTACAAAAGCTAAGAAGTTGCTCAACAGAAAGATATAGTGAACACAGTATACTGAAGAAACTTGAGTGACGCTCCACATGTTCCATTACCTTTTTCAAATGTTAAAAGTATTAGCAATTTATGATCACCGCAAAAGAGTGTTTTGTATCAGTAATGAATAGAAGCGAATGCACTCCCTCATAGCTACAAACACTACCATATTCTCACAAAACTAGGTAAGTTTTTGTTATCCGAAACTAACCCTAAGTGTGTGGCAGCATGATACTATTAGTAGTCGAAAGTGCTTTTGGCATAAGTTACAATTCATCAGTTTCTACCGCTCGAAGAGGGAGAAAAGTTTGGTTTATGATAGGCTTAATTAAAGCAACCGTACCTTTTTTATGTCACCTTAGATTATTTTAGGAATTTTCTGAGGGAACAAATTCAACATTTTCACGTGGCTGATGGGTTAGTGTGGATAGACATTGCCGTCAAATTCGGAGAGGTCAGACCAACGTGAGCTATGAATGGGGTGCTGACTTTTACGCAATGCACGACTTACGCAAACGGAAGTTCTCATCCTTCCGCTCCTATAGTACTTGTTCTCCTCAAAGCAGAGATGAGTTTGCAAAACAAATTAATCGTCCAAAATGTGAGATACATTTCAAGATCAAATTCGTATAGAGATGATGACTTCCTAGCTAGCTAAGGGTCGCGTACGAACGACCTAATGTAACGCGACAGCGTTCGAAAGGCACTGATGCTTGGCCGCAAAACATCGGCTCAACTAGTTGACATTAACGGTGAAGGTCAGTGGTTAGCCTTGAATGATGGATGCTGTGAGCTTATAGTTTTGAAGAATTAGTTATCTTTACACCAAAATGCCGTAGAGTTTACCGACGAAAGAATATGTCAATATTTTAATGATTGTATTATGGCAGCCAAACGCCGTAATTCTTGGAGAAAAATGGCTGGCATCTTTCAAATTATTCCCACTATGTTAAATTTGGGGTTTCGTTGGTATCTATTCGGCTGTTGTGGGTTGTAGAGTAATTCAAATGTAGTTGTGAAATATTTCGTCTTTATTATTAGAACTTCACTCGGAAAAGTATTGCGGTGATTCCCCAAATACCTACTATTTCGTGAACAAGTATTCTGATACATCATCTGGATTTTAAAGTGCCTTTCACTAATCACACACTTTCAAATGGGAGTGAATTAGTGTGCGTTCACGTTAATCTTCAGCTTTCATTCTTTTATATACAGCGATACCTCATCAGTAAACTTGAGTGTGAACTTTTCCTTCATTTTCATGAGTTGCATAAGTTTTCTGAGGTAATTTCCCCATAAAACACCTCTTTTTTAATTTCGAGTTCCCCTCCAAATTATTTTTGATAAAATTATTATTTCGTAGTCCAGGTTTGCGGTTTCGTTAGTTTACAACTCATCTTCTCCTTCACTTGGATAAAAGACTTGTAAGATTACTTAATACAAAGAAAAAATGTCAATTAAAAAAGCTTCCTGGATACAGAAGAAATGAAAGTTGTATTCTGAACAAAAACTCCGAACATAAATTTCAAGCCTAAAAATGGAGATTTCCAAATCACTGTCAAACTGTAAATAGTTGCTTTATGACGCAAAGTTCGCTGAAACACAATATCGTCAAGAACAGGGCAGCACTTTATTTCCAAAAGTTCAGAATCATACAATAGCGACTTAGAGCATAGAGAATAGATATCAGAAATCAACAGAAGTTAGTAATGAAAACTACGTCTTGAAGAGTCTGGTAAATGTCGGGATAATGATGTAAAAGTCCAAGGGCTAAAGAACAGCAACCAAAAAACTGGTGGAAATACTCACGCGAGCATAAATACTCTAAATAAATTGTTCAAGACGGGTTTTCACACTATTCATTAAAGCACTAAGCAATCATCACCAGGTGGGGAGAAGGGTAGAGTTTGTAAATAGTCAGACAAATGTCAATTCTGAATCGACACGCCTTCTCGAATGCAGTGAAAATTCTAAGCCTGAGAGAGACACAATAGAGAGTTATGCACACTGTAATTAGAGGACGGGCATCTACTTGCAGACAGACCTCTCCCCAGCAACCCGCACCGAAAAAAAGCCTTCTGGACTAGAAGTGAGCGAATAATGCTAAAGTGTTCTTCTAGCACCTCGACATTGATATTTTGAAATAAAAGAATATTATCGCTGTAATGATGCTAACATCTGATGCTAGCTTGAAGAAATTCGTAACGCATCTAGTGAATAGACTTATCAACACAGTAGTATCAAGAAATACTCCAGTTATGATTCACAGCACTCCTGTTTAGCCACTGAGCCTAACTTTCTCATCTCCAGGCAGAATTGGCCACGCCTGGGTTAGTTTTAGAAGCAGGCAAACGAATAGGAGACCGACAAAAGTGCTGTGATCGATTCAGCTTTTTCAGAAGGCTAAAATTTTGAAGCCCTAGGGAAACGTCATGGGGTCAACTGAAGCCAACGTAAGCCGTGGTATCTTAGTCGTAGGCCCTGTGAACCGTTCAGAAAGATTAAAACATTGCTCACATGTGCAAGCCAGGAGACTTTCGGTATAACATGGAACTAGTCAGTTCCGAACCACGTCTTATCACCCTCGGAACTTCAGATACCTAGAAGCGATACACCACAATCAAAGAAATCTGTTGAGTAAATTTTTTATCAATTATGAAAAAAATTTGATGCATCTGGCTGAAAATGCATCGGAGATGTTCAAATAATAATACTCATGAATGAACTGCAAAAGCAGTCCCAGGCCTCATTGTTGATACAGAGACTAGGTAGGTGAACATAGACGAAGGAGAGGTAATCGCAAATTGCTTCTTCAGATTCTACATGCATAATCAGCCAAAAATGGCATATGTATCAACCCCTTGGCTAGTCAGAATCTGAGAAATCATTTAGATTGGGTGACTCACTTACGGCCTCTGAGGGAGCTAGCAGCCACCCATACGACTCGACAATATGACCTTCAGGCTCTCCTTTTGATAAACCGTTTTATTGCTTAACAGGAATTATGGGGTAACAAAGATTATGCAAAACGGATAATCCAAATATTATCTATCGAATCACTGACTAGTTGACCTCACCAGCAGTTAAATTGACATGCCGAAAATAATGATCAAGAAAGCTACTATTACTTATTTGGGAAACTCAAATATTTTGTCTAACCCACCTCCTGTTTCCAACTAAATCTCTTTATATGAGTGAAGGCATTATCTTCGTAGATTTCAGCGGGAATGTCGATGAAATGCATCACAGGATTTTCCTTGATGCTAGAAAGTTTCACAATCACAAAGTACCTTGCCACCTGAAATTTCAAAAAGTCCTTTGTCGGTGTGAGACAGAGTCATAGTAAAATCAAAAGTCTCCTTGTGGACAACCGTATATGGTGGTGTGTCAGAAGGTTATGTACTCAGGCTGAGCTTATTGTTTCCCTCATAATGATTAATTATTAACGTTCGTCAAATCAACCGTGGTCTTTGATTCAGATAATATAAATATTTGGAGGGAACTGTGGGGAGAACAGTGACATGTTTATTTTGTAAGTACATTTTATTAATGTCAGGCCGATCAACGTAGTAAAGATGCTCAGACATCAGCGTCGCTCATTAGACTGAACAACATAGATGGACATCATTCCCTTCCGTGAAGACACGCTGACCTAAGTTTCGTTGTAAATCACGGATAAGAAATTATAATGCATTATAGCTTAGTCGCAGCTTGTGCTTTAAGGTGCTTATGTGCAATAAATAGATCCTACAGTAGAGTCACCAGTAATGTATTCACCGTTTTTGGGATAAATTGGAAAACTACGTTTACTCAGCCATCAATTATCTGAAAGGCACCAATGTATTCTAGAAAAAGTCCTAAGAACGACCATATATATGACTTTTACGTGACTGAGAACGGCTTAAAAAGCTAAATATCCAATCATGACTTATAGATTTTTAAGAAACGAATATGGTCCGGAACGATTTTTCCTCTTTCTTTCCATCACGTCAAAATCTCACTGTATATGGCATTAGAGTTAAAAAGACAGAGAGCAGTCATTTGCGTTGGAGTACTGATTCTCTCACTAAGTCATCCGACGTCGAAATAAACTTAACTCGCCTTGTTAATATATGTGTAAAACTTGGGCATTGTGGTAGTAAGTAATTCCATATTAGTTTGTTTATTAGGTATATCACACAGTGAAACAGTATTATTTACTGGATGACACAGTTTCGAACAAAATTTATTGTTCATAATCATATCAATTGTGATCACACGACTTTGACACTTGAGTTTTATAGTTTTCTTTGTTCTCTCCAATTTGTCGTAGGGGGAGTAGAATTTTCCATATATCGGGGACAGGTGATGAATCATTCCTATTACATGTATTTGCAGTTGATTCAATAAACAAAGCTTCTGTTATCAATCTCTCCCTATACCCTGTGACATTAGATTTTAAAACTGTCATCCTATCCCATCCTGTTGTATGGTTGTGTGTGACTGCATGTAGTGCTATAGCTGAACTATTCTCTAGATTTCTTATTTAATTTATTTATTTTATTTTATTATTTATTTTATTATTATTTTATTTATCTATTTATTTCATTTATCTATTTTTTATTTATTTATTTATTTTATTTATTTATTTTATTTATTTTATTTTACTATTATTTATTTATTTTATTTATTTTGAATAAAATAAGAAATCTAGAGAATAGTTCAGCTATAGCACTACATGCAGTCACACACAACCATACAACAGGATGGGATAGGATGACAGTTTTAAAATCTAATGTCACAGGGTATAGGGAGAGATTGATAACAGAAGCTTTGTTTATTGAATCAACTGCAAATACATGTAATAGGAATGATTCATCACCTGTCCCCGATATATGGAAAATTCTACTCCACGTACGACAAATTGGAGAGAACAAAGAAAACTATAAAACTCAAGTGTCAAAGTCGTGTGATCACAATTGATATGATTATGAACAATAAATTTTGTTCGAAACGTCATCCAGTAAATAATACTGTTTCACTGTGTGATATACCTAATAAACAAACTAATGTGGAATTAACTCGCCTTGCTTTCGGGCAGACTGTTGAAATCCTGGAGCACACATCAGAAACAATGCAGAACATTAGGACACACTTCGAGTGGAATGCAAATATTAGTATATACTGGGCCCATTACAGGAACATTAGGGCAGGCCCTGAGGCCACTGAAGAATGATGATCCAACTTTGGAGTAAACCGTCTCGCTTTCAGAAGTTCGCCACAAGATTCCCTGCCGAAATTTCCCCAGTTGACCCGAAGAAATTATTAGCTGGGTTCCCAAAGAAGGGGTGTCTGCTTCTCAAATGAATCGTCCAAGAACAAACAAGAAAAGTGCAGATACTTACCAGAGAATTAACACAGGCTCGTGGCCTAACCGCCAACCAAGATCACAATATTGCCAGCGGTAATTTTAATTTACAAGGGCAACGTGTTTGATGACCTTCTGGACCTTTAGTTTTCGCCAGTTTGTCTCACAGACTAGACACGCCATAATCTGCTGTGCTCTCGTTAGATATAAGCACTTGATTTGTAATTCTGGTTTCTGCCGTCCATGGAGAAGTTCAAGACTTATTTCTTTTGCTCTGGCGTATCCTGCTACTTATCTCGATATCAACACAATTAGTTTTAGCCTTAGTGGCACAAAAAATGCTGATGTGTTTGAACATATTATGTCTATGAACAATAAATCACTTCAAAGGTTAGTGGATTATATCTTAATGATGTGTTTTAGCATCCTTAAAGATAATAAGGAAGTTCACAAATGTAGGCATCCATTGGGATGGACACCATTGATGCTCGCAGTCGTAACTAGGAATTATGAGTAGCTTATTCTTGTCCTCTAATAAACAACTTTAGTGCTGTTACCGAATTGCTAAAAGCAGGTGCAAATCCCAACGAGGTTGACCATTTTTCGGGTGTTGTTAGGACTGCACGTGATCTGGGAATGATGTCTTCTGAAGGTAAATATTATTTTAGTAATTTATGTGATCAGTTGAATGGATGCGTATGACGCAGTTCAGCGACTTTTTAAATCCATCGGCGGATTTCCGTGGCTGTTCTGCGCTTCACTATGCTGTGTTAATGAATGACATAAAACTTGTTCATTTATTATTAGAAAAAGGTAAGTCTTCATTGAATCAAACATTTTTGGCATAAATATATTTAGTTGAACTAAAATCATCACCAGCGCTGACGCATTTAGTTTAGTGCCCCACAAATGTTTAGTCATTATTCTGAGGTATAAGGATGTTATGCTAAGTAGCCTATGGTATTTTGGACGGAAATTTTAGCAATAGAATGTTACATTATATTATATTTAAGGTCCTAATGTTTAATGCCCATTTTCGGGGCTGATTTAGAGGTAATTTTATCACTACTGTAATTTTAAAATGTGTATGTTGTAGATGGAGAGAATTATTTGCTACTAGAAGTCGAACTTATAATTTCCATTCGCCTTACGTGGTTTTGAACCTAGGTGTCCATACCCTTTGTCCCACATATTCATGACCTAAAAAATCTATTTTGTACCTCATTAGGAACATACATAAAAACTATTAAGTAGCAAAATACGTAAAAATTTTAAGAGGAAGGCAAACAAATCGTAGTGACGAGTTCACATGGTTTCCAAATACCTCAGATCGTTTACTGCTAGGATACATTATTAGTTAGGAAATATTCATAATGATCTAGCTCGTCGATTGAAGTTTATCTGAAAGTCAGACGACCATTTGACTGGTTAGAAACACACCATAAGTAGTCCGCATCACCTTACTGGCGTTTCGAAAAGTCCCAAACCTGGATATCTTAGTGATATGTTAATATACACGGTTTATCCACAAGTTCATGACAAAAATGTGGCATTTATATGAAGTAGACTTCTAAATGATTCTTTCGAGAAACTTTATGTCCATTTTTTATTTGCTGTATTGTAAAAAAATTCAGATAGGCTACAACAAATTAGTAACTGAAAAACTATAAACGAAGTAGTACTCAGAGTTTAAGCTCGTTCGTTTGGATGTTCCACTTTTAACAATTGGGTTATGCGTACGAACGGTGCCCCATCTACCGAGGTTCGTGCAGTTCGATAATATTATTAACACACACATTAGGTGTGTCTCCTTACCATCCGCAACTAGATACAAGCTATTCTTGAGTGACATATACCTATAAGTCCACTTATAAAAGGTAGAAAAACCTGGTTTCAAATCTTTGTTTCACAAGCTCCAGAGTTTAAAAGGACAAATGGCGTACAAACTTGATTTGGTCATCTGAAGCTGTGGGAGTGCAGTTCCTGCTGCTACATGGACCACACCTCACATGAAAGGCTGCCTGTATTGTCCCTCATGACAAGTATGTAGTTTGGCCTGAATGTCTGGACAGTATCAGCCCTAGCAAAATCGAGAAATTCCGGCCACATGTGCACATAATCACAGATAACTTCATATACTCAGCAACTTTAGTAACTTTTTTATTTTTCATTGATCACCTTTGAGTGTCTCTATATCCTTACTTTCTCAAGATGTTCGCTATTGCTTGAAATCTTCGTCTGTCTACTGCTTAGACCCGTTAGTTAGTTGCCTTAAGTAGGCCTCAAATGTGACATTTAACACATCAAAGCTTGCCACGCACATTAATGCAAGCCGGCCGATAGGCAAGTCTAGCCAAAAACTTGGAAAGCATCGATATGAGTGTATAGTGTATCACAGAGACTTGCACGTAAAACCCCAGTGAAAGTGCTTTGAATATTTCCATCTGTTCTTTTGAACAAAGTGTGCTACGTACGAAACTGGGAGTGGAAGATATGAGAATGCTAGCTGTCTTTGACTACATATGTTCCCCCTATCGTGTCGTATGATAGGTATTGAGTAGGCGCAGAATGTTAGGTAAGAAAGGGAATTCAACCAATGAGGTCGTGAAGGTGAGTTAGTTGAGACGACCAGGATAAGTGTTACACACGCCGAGCCAACACTTTCCTCATTGAGCTGTGTTAGGTAATATAGGATTAGGTTGAGAAAGGGTTATAGGTGGTCAGACCATGAAATTTTTGACAGTTGGCTTAAAACATATAGAAAGATGCAGGCTGCCTGGTTGAGGTCTTCAGAATGCTAAGGACTAATGGCTTGAGATTGTTAGTGATATGACTCAAAACTGTTCCCCATGACGTAAAGCGCGGCGACCTGAGCCGCTGCAGTTCTGTGTGAAGTTTTTACGTTGAAACTCAATCAGTTAACCACGTGCTCTTATCCGAAGACCTTATGGTTTCGGGATCCGGCTTAATGTCGACGTCGCACGTATCTCTTGGACGGAAGCTTCATTCATTCTGTCTGTCTGGATTCAACATAGAACTTGGCACCGAAGTGCACCAGTTCGAGTTGCCACGTCCCAAAGAGCACACAAAGGTAGACAAGAAAATGAGTGAAGAGAATCAATAGAGTTTTGACAAGTATAAGAGTGAAACAGAATGAGTAATGGTAGAAAGGAATATGAAAGATTACAGAGACTGAATACATCTGCGTAAGCCATTGACAACGATTTTGAGCCATGTCACCTATTGTCTCCAGCCATTGATTCTTAGAGTCCCGAGGGCCCCAACCCGGAAGTCTGCATCTCCCTACCTGACTCAGTTTAACTGTCAAGGATTTCATGGATTGATGCCATGTTTTTGTTTGGCCACCACTTACTCTTTTCCAACCTGCACCTATATCAGCTAGTAATGCCCGTCGGGGGAGGCGATGGTTAGGCATGCGCAGCACGTGACCTAACCATCTCAATCTTTATAGCCTCTTCGATTGATTTTCCCTCTTTGCCCAACACTCTACGTCTAACGTCAACATTACTTACCTTATTATACCACCTAACGTGAGAAAGAGATCGTAGACATCTATGATCAAAAACAGTCAACCTTTTCATGTCTTCAACTCGTATTGGCCATGTTTCAGAGCCATAGAGAAGGACGGAGCGAACTGCTGAGCAGTACACACGTCCCTTGGTTGATAGCCGGATGTCACACCTACGCCAGAGATGGTGTAATTTAGCGAAAGCAGCTCGAGCTTTTTGGATCTGTGCTGGGATTTCGTCACTAATCAATCCGTTGGTGCTGATACAACTTCCCAAATAGGTGAAGTGGTCAACATGTTCTATCACTTCACTCCCTATCACTAAGCTAGGAGTTGACGTAGTCCAGTCCCTGTAGCAGCATCTTACATTTCACAGGGGCGAATCGCATACCAAACATACGAAGATTGCTGCTCAAGGTGTTCAGAAGACTCTGCATTTTTTTCAGCATCTTCCCCTAACAGGACTATGTCATCTGCATATTCTAAGTCCATGAGACTATTCCCTGGTAACAAGTCGATTCCTAAGTCGTTAAGTTCAGTCAACGAAGCTTCATTAATCGACTTGGTCCCTTCAACAGTCGTTTATATGCCGTGAGACTAGATTATGCTGTAGTAAGAGGCTAACGGTCAGAGAAGTGTTGTGTTTTCGTCGTCTGTGCCTGTGCATCGACGGATTGCAGCCCTGATGCAATAAGGAATGAGTCATATCAGTGATTAAGTGAGTTTCTGAAGCATGTGCATCTACCAGATATTGTAGTGCTGTCTGGAGACTTGAATGTACAGGTAAGGCGTCCACTTTCAGAGGAGAGTCATTCAGGTGGTCAGGGGGTTCTGTCTTCCTCAGTTCTACGAAGGTTACAACCTATTTTTAACCAGCATCAACTTCTGTCACATCCATCGCCCTAGTGATACCTCGAATCCTCTCTCTGCCACTCAGTCATTGACTCAAATAGACTGTATTACTATCGGCTACCGATTGGTGGCTGCATACAGGACTGCCTCTTCTTTAGCCTTTGTCTGAATTCCAACCATGGTTTGCTGTGTACAAGATTTACTCTAAGATTTGATGGCAACCACAGACATCGTCCTCAACAAGTTGATGTAAGTAAACTGATAGCACCTGCTACCTCTGTTAAGTTTCAAACACATCTAGAGTCACGGACAGCCACTAGCCTCTCAGATACCTAAAAAGACCACATAAAAATAACGAGTAAAGTCGCTTACGGCCTAGCACAACTTTCTGCTAAATTCTACTGCGAGTTCCTTGCAACTTCTAACCGCTCTTAGATCCATTCCAGCAGATGGCGTTTATAACAACCTGCGTTAGGCTCGTATGCATTAGGTTAAACAGTGCTTGCATAATCACTAAGAAGCCCGGTAGTAAGAACATGCATGTGAGATGGAGTCAATAGTTGCAAAGGACAATAGTCAAAGGCTGCTCCAGCTCATCCGAGCCATGGGCAGCAAGAAGCATGTCGGCGAGATTATTTGTGAGGCGAATAGTATTTCCATTCAAAACCTAGAAAAACCCCTGGGACCGAGGGCAGTGAACATTGTGAAAAACAGACTAGCTATCCTACAGCGCCGGTATCGGTCGTCAATAATCACAGTGCTCCAAGGTCGGTTAATACTAATAAACCGAAAGTAGTAGAGATTTTAAAGGAACTCTAAATTTTTAAGCACCATGAGGCATTCGGCTAAAACAACGTAACACCGATGCTTTGTAGAGGTATTGGTGAAACTCTTGTCAGGAAACAAACTGAATTGTATTCCATGAAAGTGGAATGAAGCTATTATCGCACTCATCTTCAGAAAGAGCCTACGTAATGCATTGGGGGTATTAGTCTGTTACCAATTGTGTTTAAATTATCGACAGGTGTTTTGTTCTACAGGCTGCGTAAAACACGAGAAATTAGTTCCTAAAGATCAAGTTATGTTACAAATACTCGCTACAAAGCAGGCAAATGAATGCGGTCCTATAAATGAAACAGTTAATTTTGCTATGTAGCAACTCAGTGAGGTACAAAATATAGAAAATGGCTGTGTAATTATGTATATACTGTAAAACGCTGTACAACTTTTGAAGGAAATGAAGAAAAAACTTACAGAATTGTTTCTCTCTTCCAATGTAACAACACTACGTCACATGATATACTTCGGATTACTTAACATGTAAATCCTGTATGAAAGGGAAATATTTTGGAACTAAATACGCTGAAAATTTCTGTACTACACGTTCGTATATTGTCTGAAATAAAGCTTCGTTATTATTATTAAATTGCTTTGAAAATATCTATACTATACACCTAATTACATGAATTAAATGATACTGGAAGGGTCGCAGAATTGCAGAAATTGATAAATGTACTACAGAATGGTATGTTGACTAAGTCATATGCTAATTTTCGTTTTGTGCTTAAGTTGATGCGCTAAAAATTCAGAAAGTTGTCTTGTTTTGTGGTCATTAGTGGTTCTGTATTTATTAATGTCAAATGCAACAGCAAATAAAGCCAGGAAGTGTAAAAAACGACTAAGCCAAGTATCCACTCACATCTTCAATATATAAATAAACAGATGTAATATCATTCAGTATAAGAGATTATACTCTGAATGCCAGTTAATCATAATAGCCTAGTGACCAAGAAAGTGCTATATCTTGGCCATTAATCACTTTTTCACGGAATAACTGTGATCAAGAAGCGTTTGCTAGTTTTCAGATGCTTCTTGCATCAAGATTTCATCTCTGTTGGGTGTACTTTTATGGTGCACATTTGGGCCATCCAGTGTTTCTGGAGTACTACAACACGTTGATATTGACATTTCGTATTAGCTCCCCAAACTATATTCACTTAAAGTTCTCTATTTTCGATTAGATTACATGTTGGTACACACCAGTGCATTTCACCACCTTCATCAGTTATATTAATCAAGTGTTAAAAAGTTGCTGAACAACCATTTGCAATCCTGTGCAGGTGGCAATGAACCACGCATGTTATGTCAGAGCTATTGATACTACCTGTCTGCCCAAACCTAGGTAAATAGAGTGATGTTCAAACCCGTAACCCACTAGTTGGAATTCGAGCGCCTAGACCTACATGCTGCAGCTCCTGGTAATCATGTATTTAGTTCTCAATGAATTCATCAGGGGTAACGTCTAAAGATTCCCGTAGTGTCCAATCGAATTCATGCCTTATTAACATCGGTTACATTTCATAGTGCATTGGCTACAATTTCATATCTGGATCGAATTGTGGTTCTGTCATCATCGAAAAAGCGACTAAAATAGCAGTCAACTCTTTACCTTAACTTCGTCGACTTTGTAAGGGGCTTCGATAGAAACGACCGCAGAGTAGTTTGACGACTGCTTCGAAACCACGAGATGCAGTGATGTAAACATACATTCCTCAAGCTCATCCAATAGCTAAACGATGATGATGCATACTAAGTAATTCACAGAGGAAAGCCCACCGAAGTAACAAAGTTGGCTACTATCAAGATGATCTCATTTGTGGTGGACTGGATCATGCGGTAGACCTCATGGGATTTGGAAAGAGTGCATACATTCGACTTACAAAAAGGCCTTAGAACACCTGGATTTCACGGATGATCTATGGCTTGTGTTGCACAAACCTGAAGATTACCAAGCGAAGACAAGACTTCAAATGAACGTAGACAGCACAGAGGTGACGAAAGTACTTGACTAGCAACCAATCACCATCAGTGGGAGGAATCTAAAGGAAGTTGTCTCCTTCAGATAGATCGTTTCAAATACAGGCAACAGAGACAAAAATCTGAAAGCCGTCCAGAATGGGTTAAATTAATGTGGACGTTTGTTTCTTTGTTTACAGCACCCAATAAAGGCAACAAGATCGGAGATGTCAACACTAATGTAAAGTCATTGCTTGCATAGGTTACAGAGACTTAGAGAATGCTTCACGAAAAGCATTTCCAAGATTTTAGAGACTTGCGTTTACACCCACTCCGGGCGGAAAGGATAAGCAACAAAAAAAACAGGCAGAGAATCAGGTAAGGATATATTACTCAAAAAATAGGCAGAAGGAAATCGAAATGGAATTGATCACGCGCTGAAGGAGCATTGTAGTGGAGCCTAGATGGGAGACAACAGATCGGTCGTCCGATTATGACATGGGGAAGATCATATTCGGAGGAAATGAGATGTTGTATGCCGTCATGTAGCTGGTTGAAAACGATAGCAAAGAATGGAGTACAGTGAAGATTACCACTGATGCCTATGTTCCACTTGGGACGCAATGAATGAATAAATAAAAATTACTTAATGATTATTTTGCATTTCTCTCTAGGTGCTGACCCAACTTTGGTAAATGAACGTGGTCATCGTCCTTTCATGTATGCGAAAGATCCTTCAATCAAACAGTTGTTAAGTCAAGCAGAATCAAAGGTAAGGAGTGTTTTGTTTTACTAGGTTATCATATTTCACCATTCAAAAATAATTATATCTGGCTGCAAATATATATATATATATATCCATCTGTACTAAGTATGTGTTTGTCTGTTCTATTTTTAAACCAGTCGATTAAGGGTGCAGACCACTTCTCCTGGACGTTGATTCCAAGAGTGGATAACTCAAGCAGTACTGTGTGGCATTATTCTTCGTCTCACGGTTTTTTACCCTCCTGGTGTGTTCGTCGAGTAGTTCGACCTGTCTGTTTAGTTGTTCCTCATATGGTAAATAGGCATTACAAGAGATCGTATGTGTCCTCAAACCCTCCCCAGCAAATGACATCACATATTATGGTGAAGGAAATCTATTTGAATCTAGTTTTCTAATGTGGACTTCACTAGAAGTGTATATAAATTAGAAATAACCACTGGTGATTTCCATTAAAGTCCCACGTATCACCCCTAAGATCCTAAAGCTGCGATCTGCAGCTAAATGACAGCATTCCTCAGTTTTTAAGTTTTGATTTAACATAACAACTAGGTCAGTGTGCGCCTGAACTGATGCGTGGTTTATGTGGACACTTGCATGGTTCCGCACTTACACACGTCAGCGCTCATCATCCAGCTTTCTGATCAGCCTAACAGATTAAGGTTTGTTTGAAGTGCTTGCACACCTTTGACCTTTTTAAGCTCTTTCCATATTTTAGATCATCGGCATAAAAATACTTAGGACACTTAATGTATTTAGTTAATTTTCCGGCACATCGTAAAAATAAGACCGAATATTGTACCTGATGACATTTCGTTTTGTATCACCCTGTAGGAACAGAGTTTGGAGTGGGTCCTTACTCTCTATCTCCTACCGACAAGGGTGGTGAGTAAACTACCAGTAATTCAAAAACTTTCGAGTTTCGTAACCAACATAGGATGAGATATTTCATCGTTTAGTTTGCCAAAGTGTGTGCAGACTATCTCAACAGTCTTTTCGTTATTTTTTGCAGTGATGTTCGTTTGAGAGGAGATTTTCTCCGTAAAAATAATGATGTTCAATAGATGACAAAGTAATGTTTCCCAGATGAACCATTACAGCTTTCTTAATTTTTCCTTCCGTTATTTTAAATAAGTTGCTGGAGATATTGATAACCTTGTAACTCGGGTGTATACCATCGATTCTTCAATGTGGATATGGGTGATTGTTACGTCCCTCCATTCAAACGGTAACATTTTTGTTTAATGATATCATGAAGACCAGGTACATGCATTACTAGCTTCTCGAATAGCCTTGGATCAAGCTTATCTGGTTCAATTTATTTGCTTTCATTTAAGTTGCTTAATGTTCATATACGAGAATAGTCTCACTAGATGCTTCATTGTAGGTAAATTTCGAATTTTACGGAAGACTGACAAATTATGGTCCACTTTTTTACCTTTATTGCATAATGTCCTTGTCTGTAGACTTCTGAGGGTGAGGAATATGTCCTAACACCTTTGCTTTTGATTGGATAGACTATTAGTCCCTCGGGTTGTTAGTGAAGGAAATTATTTGCAACTTCTATATGGTCTTTCAGGTCTATGGTTCACTCTTCCTATGAGGCTGTAGACGCAATGATTTTTATATCAGATCCTCACATATTTCAGGTGTTAGTCTGTAGTCTCGGGATACTGAGGCAACAATGAACTGAAAAATAAGCTCAGCCTCGTCACTTAATCATTAAGGTGGAAGTTATTGCAAGAAGTTCACGTCCAGAGTTTAGAAGAAATGCTGAAAATCATATTGCATAGTTTTATTGACATGCTGTGTTCAGATTAGTGGTTTAAAAGATTCCAACGGATTATAGAAAAAAAGTGTTTTCTGATAATGGCGTCACTAACTTTTCTCAAGATGACGAGATATGAAAGCCACCGATTATTTGGCATTTATGTCTCAATATCCACATGGTTTATTTGTAAGGACGTCACGTACTATGCAGTCAGGACTACTATATAATCTATTGAAGTCCATATCTTGTTCCTTGTATTTCTGTCTACAAGGTTTTTTGAGCTTAGTTATCCGGAACAGGTTTTTCATGCACCAGGTTGTGAGTCACACTTATTGTTTGAGGGTTGATGATACTACATAGTTGCCCAGGTCGATGCAGGTGGAATGACATTCAAATCTCGCTACCCACTGGCTGAAAACCAATCGCTTGAGGCAATGAGCCGCGTCAGTTTTCTAGTTACGATTCTACATGACACAATATCGTACGCCATTATCTCTCTACTCCGTATAAATTAGATGCTATTCTGGTACATTATAACTTCGCCACCTCTGCACTAACATACCTGCCATATGCAGAGTGATGGTTTAAAGTTGCATTCCACCGTCAATAATACTAAGGTGTGTTTTACGTTTCTAAGATGTCAATAACATCAAAGTTTTCTATATGAGCCTAATTATCCGGTAATTAACACAACATATTATAAGTTCTCACTTCCTCACTAAACTCTTCTACTTAGTGGGAAATGTTAGATCTGTTGATCAGATCTGCGTGTGTTTTTAATGGCAAGTGTCTTGTCATTGTGTGACAGCCTTTCTATGCCTCTTAACAGTGACTACATCTCATTATTCGCTCGTGCTTCTTTCTTCACTTTATTTTCGCACTGTATGTTTCTTGTCTCATTGAATCATCAGTTAACGTGTATACATTGATATCAGTTTTCCAGATTCCAAAATGCTACAGTGACGCGTGCTGGGCGTTTTTCTCCCTGAGAGACATAATCGTATCTTTGCTGACGCTGATATTATTTGAAATTTCCATGAAGAACTAATAAAGATAGTTGTTGAAATTGTTGTAGCAACAAAAGGAATGTTTCCAATGATAAGTCGTTAAACTTTCGAGACATAGGTAACAACCAAGAGATTCTGAAGAAAACTGCCTAATACAATAACTTTCTATAGTTTGGTTTGTAAGGATTAGTTATGTTTTACGAGTTGATCACGGACTGATATCAGTTAGAGAACCATTGAAAACCAGGGAGTACTGGACAGCTGCTGTTTCATCCTAGTTTGGGAATCATCGGCAGTACGCACCCACTGGGGTAGAAATTAGAATTCATGAGCCATTGAATCGGGTCCCAGTGGCTGAATGGTATACGAGGTTGCCTTGCAACCGGAAGGTCCTGGGTTCGAATCCCAGTGGGTGCGTACTGCCGATGATTCCCAAACTAGGATGAAACAGCAGCTGTCCAGTACTCCCTGGTTTTCAATGGTTCTCTAACTGATATCAGTCCGTGATCAACTCGTAATACAATAACATTTATCTAGAAGAGAATAAAGCGAAATTAGGTTGAATGGTGTGACAAAGTTGACTTAATTGAGTAGAGGTCAATTAAAATTGAAAGATGGTTAAAATCAGTGTCATAAGGGGTATTGGTCTAATGTTCGGAAAAGAGACTGAATGACTGCTTTCAACGTAAAACTTTGCACAGATGTGCAGCAGTTCGAGTTGCCGCACTTCACCTAGCACACAAAGCAAGAGAAGAAAATGAAACGCAAAACAGAGACAGTAAAGAGATGTGAGGCAAAAAGAATGATAACGTCGAAGAACCATATAGTTTCATTGGGTATTATAAGTCACAAGAAGTGGATGCATCTGCGCTAGCCATTGAAAACGATTTTGAGCCATATCACCAATTGTTTCCAACCATTGGTTTTTACTGTCCCGAAGACCCCAACCAGCAGGTCTACACCTTCCTACGTGGCCTAAACTAACTGTTGTGAATTTCATTGACTGGTGCCATGTTTTGATTTGACCACCACTGGCTCCTTATCAACCAGATTCATCTCATGTCAGCTAACATTACCTGTCGTCGAGAAAGGCGATGGCTAGGTATGCGTAAAACATGTCCTAACCATCCCACTTGGTGTAACTTCACAACCTCGTCTACTGATTTCCCCTCCTTACCTAGCACTCGACCGATGCCTAACCTCAATATTGCTCACCCTATTATACCACTTCACACAGGAGGATAGGACTCAGGTACCTATGATCAAAAGCAGCTAGCCGGCCTTTTCATGTCTTGCACTTTCAATGGCCATGTCTCACAGCCATAATGAAGGACAGAGCGTTTCTCTTTCCCGTAAAGCCATGAGGTTAAATGTTCGATGTTATGTTTGACCTTTTGTCAATTCTGCTTGAACTCCACTCAATTCTGTCAACTTGATCACACCATTCAATCTAATTTCACTTTATTCTCTACTTGATTAATGCTACTGTATTAGGCAGTCTTCTTCTTTAGAATCTCTTGATTGTAACCTAAGTCTCCAAAGTATAAAGACACACTGTGGGAAACTTCCCTTTTGTTTCTGTGGCATAGTATTATAAATATGCAAATGGTAAATCACAGTGACTGGCAGGATTATTGTCGTCTAAATCATAGTTGTATATTTTCTTATTTAGGTAGGAGTTGCATATTCAGGAAGTTTCTGTGTTACTTTTTGCACCTTCATTAATTCCCGAATTACATATTTTCTCGTACTGCAAAATCCCTACATAACCGTCGTGCGTGGTTTTTGCGACAGCATCTGTGGGGGTTGAGTTCCTCAAGGTTAGACTTTGTTATTGTTTCTTCTCATGACCCCATTTTGGGAAGTAAACATTGACGTCAACTGTTGTCTACAATTTTGTCTTGCTGACAGCTCTCACCGCAGTAGAATGCTCGCCAACTACGCATGTGGTCCGGGTTTCGGTTTCCCGCTGATACACTCCTAAACCTGGCTTATCCTTAAGTAAGCCCGGTGAAGAGGAAAGGTTAGGAGTGAGGCTAGCAAACTCACCCCTTAAAAGACGAATCTCCTCTACTTTAATTTTAAAGCTCAAGACTAAAGCTCTGTGTTCTATCGAAAACGCAAGCGAATTAAATATAATAAAAATTATCCCCGACATCTTTTGTCCACGATCATCCCTCATTCTTATGACTGCTCCTACACTGAACCAAGTGCAATTTAATCAATACTGATAGGAATGTGGCTCATTGACCAAGGTTGTCGACTTTCAGTCAATTGGTTCCGCGTTCGAATCCGGTTTCACCTACTACAGCTTAAGTATCTGTGTATTGTCATCAGACATCACACAATAAGTGAAATTGGTAACCTGATACATAAGAAATATGTTCCAGGTAAATGGGCTCTAGTCACTAATTAGAATGTCTATTGATGGATGTATAACTATCGAGTCTTACATAAACTAGTCATTTTATTAATAAACTGTCCACTTCATTGCTTTTTATCACAATCACTACCGTGATATCTGGTTATTCTACTTATAATTAAGTTCTGAAGTCAGGTAAAGTGTTAATAGAGTTGGTTTGTGATATTTTATTACAAGATTCAGTGAACCAAGTCAGTGTATGTTTATACATGGTTTTTATCTTATTGCTTGATTTGCAAATGATTTTCCTATCCATTCATTTGGCATATAAAAGATAACAATTATGTACAATTATTCCTAGAGCCAAATTTCTAATATATTTATTTACCAATATTTAGTGTGCGTAGTATTGTCTACAACACATTTTGCATGTGTTTGTTTTATCTATCACTCTGTTAACTATGTTAAAAATCTCAGCAATACACCAGAGGCCTTAAAGTTTCCTTTAGTGGGTGCAGGTTAGTCCACTTGCAGTTAAAGATAAAATCAACTGGACAAAGTAACTAAAACAAATTAGCGACTAAAAGTTGTTTTAACAAGTAAATGAGAAATTTTCCGGGGCCACTTATTATAAGTTCATGCTCTTCCACATGACCGAAACAAATCGACTATCATAATATTGATATCCGGATTAGTCGTTTGTATGATGTGTAAGGTGGTATCAACATAATGTATCATGACTGTGTTTAGTGAAGTGATAGTGTAGTGAGAGCTGTCTACTAGCTAAATTGGTAGACAGTAATTTACGTCAATATTTACGTTCCCAAGATTTGTCGTGAGAAAATGTGAACAAAGATTGATTCAAAAACGACCACAGCAGACTTTGCGTAGGCGGATGCAGTTAACATATAGATGATCTAACATTCAAGAAACAGTCACAGAGAAATGAAAGATTAACTTTAAGTGAGAAACAACCAATCAGAAGACTGTTTTTGTTTGCTTAACTAAACTATAATAATGTTCATGAAAATATATAATATATGCTTTGATTTCCTTAATAAACGATCTGTAGCCTGACTCTTGCCTACTGTCGTTACAATAGGATCTTACATAAAATAGTATGTCATCCTTTCTCACGCATATTGTGATTTATTGTGCGATCAATTCATCATCTTTTGTCTCACCTTGGTTTTTGTCGGATCGCCAACCAAAAGAATAGCTATTGTCAGCCAATAAGAACAATTCATTCCAACGGTTGTGAGCCGACGTTACTGTGGTAAAGAAAGTGTGTTAATAGTGTGTGTTGTTTCCTATTAAAATATAAGGTACCTTACATACACAGATCAGCCCTTGTCTTTTGATATTTGCATGGCTCAGTGAAGCAGAGGATACAACGGAAAAATTGGCACATTGGCGTACCATTGGAGTTCATTACCGTTATAACAATTAGCGGCGCGTATATAACATGTTGCTATTGGTCTTCACATTCATATATATATATATATTTATATATCTGTTTGTTTGACGTATCATGTAAATTGCAGTTTAGAAAAATAAAAACTCTTAGGATAACTAAATGACCTATATTCTATTACTGATTGACTCTTGCAGAAAGCGAAAGAAATGGCTGCTAAAGAACGAGAAGAGAGGCGTCTTCAACCACTAGAGAGTCGTTTGCGTAAAGTTATTGTTGGTCAAGAAGCTGCTATTCGCACTGTTAGTGCAGGTCAGTCTTTCTTTTTTTCCCAAAGATAAATTGGTTCGTATTCTTCCTTTGTCTCTGCAATCACATACACATGTATGTTAAATGGACATTGAGAGATCACAAAGAGTGAAAGTATCTGCACCTTGGGGGATGATTAATTTTAGGCATACCACCAATAGTCTCTAGCTATTTGTTATTAGCATTCCGAGGACGACAACCAAGCAGTCTCCACCTCCCTTATATGATTCAAGCCGACTGTCAAGGATTTCATGGATTCATGCCAGCTTTTGGTTTGACCATATCTTAATCTTTTCGACTGTATCATCTGCCAGTTTACTTATATTAAGACTTGATAATTGAGTAGAATAACCGAAAACAGGGATTAAGCGTTTTCATAGACAGTCATGAAAATAATTCTAATTGATGCTGATATATTCGCTGATTTGATTCTGTCGGAATAAGCACACCACACAATGCTTACTTTCATCCTTTTGTATGGTTTCCAGAATCTTTTCCCAATTTTATTCAAAAGCATAACTACTGAGGTGGTTATACGGATGAATGACTTAAAGCATTAGTATAAGGAATAAACAATTATAGTACGCATGTATATATATATATATATATGATGTTAGTGGTATGGCTCAAAATCGTCCTCCATAGTGCAGATGTTTTCACTCTCTGTGATCTCAAATGTAAGTTTAGGTTACTTGTTTCATTGTTAAGCATTCACTTAAAGCTAGAATTATCTTGGCTGAGGTATTACCACCTTGTTGGATGATGAGATGCCTATTTTCCGGTTCCTTTATCACACTGGTGTGTGTATTAGCCAAAATGATTATAGTCCATATCAAATACTCATGCTTGAAGTAAGCTCTAATATACATCGTTATTTTTGTGTACAGTTTACAACACAAATTTTTGACATTAAGCGATGAACTATCTGAGTAAAATAAACATGTATAAGTTTATCTTAACACATATTTTGAGTGATTATAGGAACATACGTGTGAAACATGAAGATACATTTATGTTCAGATTTTAAAAGTAATAGAAGGTTTTTATTTGATCCCAGAAGTTGTCGTTAAATCTTCCAAAAGTTAAGTTTCAGATAACTTGTGTAATTTGGAGTTTTATGAAGTATATGTCGGTTCATAGTTGCTACTTTAAATTAAAACAGTAGTATAAGGGGCATTGTGCTAAATTTTCTACATACAACTGTCCATCTATTTGTTGCTTTGCATCACAGCTGTTTGTCATCAGACTTTCATCCATTGTAATAATTTATCTTGAGAAAAAAGTTATTGATACATCATGCTGGATATTTGTTGCAGACTGCTGTAAAACAATGGTGAAAATAGTATTTTGCAAAACTATCTTAAAGTTTGATCATGGATTGATATCAGTTAAAGAACCATTAAAAACCAGGGAGCAATGGGCAGCTGTTTCGTCCTAGTTTGGGAATCATCGTGAGTACGCACTCACTGCCAGGGTTCGAACCTAGGGCGTTACGGTTACAAGGAGGGCTCGTAGACCGTTCAGCCACTGGGAAAAGTTAGAATTCATGGGCTATTGAGTCGAGTGGGTGCGTACTGCCGACGAGTCCCAAACAGGGACGAAACAGCTGCCCAGTGCTCCCTGGTTTTTAATGGTTCTCTAACTGATATCAATCCGTGGTTAAACTCGAAAACCAATCATACATTAATGTAGCATGATAATCTTATTACTGATCTTTAATTTTTATGACCAAGTAAGTTATGGTATTTGCGTTTAGGGTTTTCTACGCTCACTTCACCGGTTCCTCTTTGAATGGCAAGATGATATTCTTTTCTCAAACAGTAAATCTAATTGACTCTGTTTAACTTAGGAATTTTATTTTTAGTCATCGTGGTTCTTAAGCGGCTACAATGAGAGAAGGTCCTTTAATCTTAACAGATACTTTTTAATCGCACCGGGTAGGAAATTTTGTGTTGCAGATATTAGAGTCAGGGACTGGAGTAGTACATTTTCAGCGTCATAGATTGGTTTCAAGTAAGATGTATGATCAATAATTAAGTTTTTATATCTCTGAGTAGGAAAACTTCCCATCCATCATTGTTTTTTTTAAAATATCACGTCTATTGTTAGATGGCATTCGAAAAGTTCACATGATACTACGTAATTACTTAAGTAGCTAAGAAAATTAGAGTAGTTCTCATTGAACTTTGATAATGTGCATTAATTTTCTTATGGTACTTTTTATTTACCGACTGAATTTCACTGAAGTCAACACAATGAAGTTAATATTTATTGTCGAGGTATTGTGTAATTATGTTGAAAAGCAGATTACAAGTCATTGGCTTCGTTTGTGGTTGCTTATTCCAGTGTCTAAAACTTTCAAGCATATTTATATAAAGTTTTATTTAATTGTATCTTATACCAGATTTATTTTAAAACTATTTTCCATAAACCTGGTGGAATTTTATTAATTCATTCAATGAGTACAACTTCGTACTTTTATTTAACCTTAGTGGGTTTTTTTCGCTTTTAATTTCAGCTATTCGACGCAAAGAAAATGGCTGGTATGATGAAGACCACCCACTGGTGTTCCTTTTTCTTGGTTCGTCTGGCATAGGTAAAACAGAGTTGGCTAAACAAGTTGCTGCATATCTACACAAAGACGTCAAAAAAGGATTTATACGTATTGATATGTCCGAATATCAGGAAAAGCATGAAGTATGTTGTTTTAGTTTATCTGTGATTATGAGCTAGCTTTTTCAGACTACGATTATTTGTATTCACTATATTTTATTATGTACTGTTCACGGTAGCTGTACTTGTGATTCTAATTGATGATTGAATGAAGAAAGATTTTGTTAAGATCAATCTGGAAAGCCCACTTGTTTTTTGTTTTGTATTTTCTTCCAGTATTTTCTAATGATTTTGTCGAATAGATGTAGGAAACTCAATATCATTAATTATTCTCTCATGATATTCTTTATTATACTTAATAATTATTAATGGAGTGTTATTTTTTGTTGGTTGTATGTTTACATCACACGGTGGAGTTTCAGATCTTCATCCAAAGTGTGTATACGATATTACGTTTTAAATTAACATCATCAGACAATATTTATTTTATACTCACATAAATTTAATATATGTGTAAAACTTGGGCACTGTGGTAGTAAGTAATTCCATATTAGTTTGTTCATTAGATGTATCACACACACAGTGAAACAGTATTATTTACTGGATGACGTTTTGAACAAAATTTATTGTTCATAATCATACCAATTATAATCACACGACTTCGAAACTTGAGTTCAGCTATTGCACTACATGCAGTTACAGGTCGTGGATGCATTGATCATGTGTTCACCCTTCGTCAGTTGTTGGAACACCGCCACACGTATTGCAGGCCAACGATCGTTGTGTTTCTTGATATTAGGGCTGCCTTCGATTCGTTGGACAGAACTGTGCTCTGGAACTGTCTGTTAGAGAGAGGTGTACCTGAGAAATTTGTTAACATCTTGAAAGCCCTATACAGAAACACCTCAGGTAGAGTGAGGGCATACAACCAACTATCATCACTGTTCCCAACCAACAGTGGGGTTAGAGAGGGTTGCCCAATCTCTCCATTTCTCTTTAACTTTGCCATCGATGACATTCTGGAGTCAGCTCTGAAGGATGTGCGTGAAGGTGGTGTAGATCTGCTACCTGGAGATAGACTTTTCGACCTCGAGTATGCAGACGATATCGTCTTACTGTGCGATAGCATGCAGGCTGCCCAAATCGCACTTAATCAGTTGGCGATCAGTGTCTGTAAGTATGGTATGTGCTTTGCGCCGTCTAAGTGCAAAGTACTGTTACAAGATTGGCAGGAGCCTGTACCTGCACTCACTCTTGCGGGTGAACCGCTTGGAGTTGTCGATAAGTTTGTGTATCTAGGTAGTTGTGTGAGTGCTGGCGGAGGGGTGACGGATGAGATTTCCAACCGTATAATGAAAGCTAGGGTGGCATACATCAACTTGAGCCACCTCTGGCGCCGTCGCGACGTTAGCCTGGCTGTCAAAGGTCGGGTATACAATGCTTCGGTGCGGGCTGCCTTGCTCTACGCCTGTGAAACCTGGCCTCTCCGAGCTGAGGATGTGAGGCGACTCTGCGTGTTCGATCACCGCTGTCTCCGCAGGATTGCTTGCGTTCGATGGCATCATCGCGTGAGTAATTCTGAGGTTCGGCGGCGTGTGTTTGAACACAGTGGAGATCACCATTCATTGAATGTCGTCATCTGGAAACACCGGCTCCGGTGGCTTGGACATATGCTGAGAATGTCACCCCAAAGGCTTCCGTACAGGTCTCTGTTCGCTAGCCCTGGGACGGGATGGAAAAGGCGGAGAGGTGGTCAGCCCATGACGTGGCGTCGTGGGATGAAGGATTTCTGTGCTAGATTAGCATCGGTTGGTGTGTCACGACTCCCTGGTTGGGGTCTGAGAGATAGCTCGAATCGATGGCTCGAAACGTTATCGGATATGGCCAAGAATCGTAATCAATGGCGAATGTGTTGCGATTTCCTTCTTTCTTCCATTCCCGATGATAGTTAACGAACACTGTTTGAACCTGTTAAGAATGAGTGTTTTCCTTCCAGATGAAGTTCTTTATTCGTTCTCTACTTATATATATTTTTTCTTTTCCTGCCTTCCTTCCTTTTTTTTCATCTATGTTGTTTTATTATTATTGTGTGGCGCATCCTTCTTGGTGCCATATTGTACCAAGTTTTAATGCGTTTAAATAAATAAATAAAGTTACACATAACCACACAATAGGATGGGATAGGATGACAGTTTTAAAATCTAATTTCACAGGGTGGAGGGAGAGATTGATAACAGAAGCTTTGTTTATCGAATCAACTGCAAATACATGTAATAGGGATGATTCAACACCTGTCCCAGTTATCTCGAAAATTCTACTACCCCTCCGACAAATAGGAAAGAATAAAGAAAACTATAAAACTCAAATTTCGAAGTCGTGTGATTATAATTGATATGATTATGAACAATAAATTTTGTTCGAAACCTCGTCATCCAGTAAATAATACTGACTCACATAAATTTGTTCAAGTTAGCTAGAACACTAAGGGACTAACTCTTCAAAAAGCTGCATTCAGCAGTATTTTTCAAAGCAGTCGATCTATTGTGAGCCGAAACAATCAGTGTACGCCTATGATTCTAACTGAAAGGTCATTTTAGACATAGGTATGTATTCCTTCCATTTATTAATGATAGCAAGCTGAAATAGCCTATTTGATGAACCGTTTCATAGTAGTACGTATGCAGAATGTTTTTAATATCCTTCAGTTAGACTAAATATCTGAGTACCAAAGTTTAATATTTTGGTGGCTGCTGTAATCATACTTACCATCCTTTTTTAGTAATTTTTATGGATATTTTATGAATAAAACTTTGTTTGTTAAGTTCATTAAGGTGAATACATCAAAAGCTACTACTTAATGCTCAACACAATACGCTAGGTAGTTGTTAGATCTCCGTTACCTGGAACAGAATTCTTATGGACCAGGCTATGAGCTACGCTTATTATAAGAAGTCTGATGATTCCACTTAGTTGCCTAGGTTGAAGTGGATGGAGCGGGATTCAAACCTGGGACTCATTGACCAAATGTCGAGTGCATAAAGCAGTGGGTTTCCATTTTAGTCAATCGAATCGATCATAGTATATTTAACAGTTAAGTATTTTTTTCTGCCAGTCAAAATGTTTCCTCAAGTGTCTGATCCACGAGTGCGATCACACTCTACAGTCCCTGGTTTGTTTTTCTGTTTATGTGCATCTGCATCATTTGTTTTGTTTTAAAAAAATTGGTCATCGTATTTGAGTGTGGAAGGTACTTTCCATCCTCTCAACTTTTGCTACTCTTCATTGATTCTACCTGCGTCGTACACATATATGGTTTCTGTTTAATGTCACTATCATATTTCAGCTATTTTTACAGTCTTCCATATTCGGCACCCCATTAAACTAATTAAGACTTCTAAATATTCAAAAATCATCTGATTTTACTTTGAGGTTTAATCACTGCATATGCACAGAAATTTTGCAGACTAGGATTTATCTTAGGTGTCGGTGGCACAGTGGTAAAATGCTCGCCAATCCCGCATTTAGTCTGGGGTTTGATCCCCGTCCGACGCCTTCCTCTTTACCTCGCTAAACCAGTAATAAGATCGGTAAAGAGGGTAGGTTGGGCATGAGGCTAGCAGTCCTATCCCGTAAAAATAAACACCACTGTTACCGAAACTTCAAAGCTTAAGCTTGTAGATCTATGTTCCATCAGGGAACGTAAAGGAATAGAAAAAGATTGATCTTACTAACTGGTTCAAAATTGGTGACGTACATGTTATGATGATAAAAACATTGTCTAAATCAAACAAGGCGACTTCGAGTAATATTTTCATTATTATCGGTTTCTATAAGAAAATAAAGGTGTAACTACGGAATCCAGAGAGGTACTTGTTTTTACTTTCATGTTATTTTTAGCTTACGGAACTGTGTGTAAAAACACTGTAGATTTTAATACCTTATCTAGTGAAATCAACAGTTATGTTTACACTGTATCGCAAAAGAAGGATGTCATTTACTGGTTCGTAACCAAAGCTGGTTTGCTAAAATATTTTAATTTTTATGAGCAGACAGTTTGGGTAATATTTATTAATAGTCAAGTTAATTTAAAAGAAAAAGCATTACAATAGTTCTCACTTTGACCGTTAATGGCCATTATTTCCAAATTACTGATATTGCTAGTAGAAATATAGTTCATCAGTTATAGAATTCGCTTTTCGACCAATATGCCCTGAGCATAAATCGAAGTCCACCCACTCCATCCTGAGCAGAATCATTCGTCCGCAAACAATAAGTGTATCTAGTTTCCTGTTACGTGAGAATTCTGTTCTAGGTGACGGAGTTCTAACTAGCTAGTTTAACAATGTCATTAGTTGGAAGGCATATTTATTAATATGCAGATTTTGTAGTAGGATATAAAATGACCGTTTCACTAACAAAAATTTCCTTCTTCTTAGGTTTATTTGCTTATTTTTGTTATTTTTTTGTGCGTTTTTAACTCTTCGTTAATATTTTTGCACAGAATTGACCAGCTTATCTGTATACAACTCATACCTTACCATATATAAAGGACATCTCAGAAATCACTACAAGACTCTTCAGACCTTTAGGAATTGACGTCGTACACAAACCAACAAAGTCACTCCACTCAATTCTATGTCAACCAAAAGACTCAACAGCGAAGGAAGATAAAACCGACATCATCTACAAAAGACATGATATCCACTCCCTCATATCACTACATACAGACAACCACGGGCATCAATTCGACTGGGACAACGTTCAAATATTAGACAGAGGAAACAACAAGAATGCTAGAGAATTTTTAGAAGCTTGGCATTCCAGTGAATCATCAATCAATAGACACATCGAAATAGACAAAGTTTATCAACCGGTAAGAAAGAATAGTCACACACAAAGGGTCAAAGTTCAAGTCAAAGAAACAATGAGTGACAATACAAGTAACCTAGAAGGTGTGAAAACACACAAAAATAACCAATCACGTCCGAGGTCGCCAGGAGAGATGATTAATAAACTCGTGGAGAAATCTAAAAGCTCACTTCAAATTGAAGTATGCGCTGAAGATGTCACCCAGTAGGGTGATGAAAGCTTCGCATATTAACTATCCAGCTCAGAGAACA